TGAGGTTTTCCTCAGAAATAACCCTTTCTCGTCACTATAGTAAGAACTCAGAAGGGAAAATTACGAAGTTGCAGACTGTGCCAATGACAGCAATGAATACAGTAAGCAACTTCTAACTGGAAAATGTAATTTTTTAAATAAAATATGAGGACTCTTAAGAGATAGTCCTAATTCTTGGCTTTTGCAAAGGTAGAAGCACAGAGTAAATCCAGTTCCTTTTTACTCATGATGAAATAAAATTCATCCTGCAGTCCTTTTTCAGGCAATATCCCATTGCCAATGGTGGAAGTTTAGCTTAGCAGTAGCAAAAACCTTCAGTTAGGTTCAGTAGCAAAAAGTTCTAATAGCTTCAGTGGTGTCACTGTAGCACCATGAGCCTTTAAATTACATTTTGTTCTGCAACAATCAGTTGGCAGAATAGAAAATGCACTTTTCTCATTTATTGGAAAGATACAGAGTTATTACTTTTTTTGAGCAAATACAGCTATCAGTTTTAGGTGCTATTAACGTGTCTATGTGTTCTTCCTGTCTGTATTTAATAGTAGGAGCTGCTAAAAGATTTTATTATGTTAGCTGTTTATTTTACTTTAATGAACTGGAGAACAGGCACACATAAAATTGTAATGTATCAAATATATGTCTCTCTTTTGTTATCCTTTTCCTCTTTTCCCCTTTTTTTCTCTTTTTCATCTTTTTTTTTTTTCTTCCTCATAACAAATTTCCTGGTAGCATTTAGGTATCTTTTACATTTATATTTAGTAAATACAACTCCCCCCCAAACAAACAGAATCTAAAATTATAGACCTTTTAACAGAAATATTGAAAAAGCTGAATTTATCAACATAATATTGTAACTATAAATGTACTGAGTAATTAATTGTGTGTAAACTGCTCATTTGCATGGTTCAGTTTCAAATAAAGCAGAAAACTGTTTGCAAATGAACATATGCAATCTAAAGGCTAACAACAATTTTTGGTAACTCCACTAAAAAAAGGTGTGGCCATGTTCTAATTTCAGTTCACTGAGGTAGAAGGAGTAGTTGAAACAAAGCAGCAAAGGATATGTCAACTTTAGATTGTGTAGTGCTACCCAAATCTTCGTTCGCGAAGCCTAGCCATGAATGAATGAATGAAAGTGTACTTGTCCTCTGACAAATTACAGCAAAATCAAAGATCTAAGAGTTTACATGACTAAATAATACTAAAAAAGATACATTGATATAATTTAAGGTTAACACGATTGTTCTGGTTTTTACCTGCAGTTTAGAGCAGAACTCAATCTTCTCCGGTAAAATAGGATTTGATCCGAAATATGCAGTTGTGACAATAGCCATTGATTCTTGCTGGGAACAAAAATTCTCAGACATAATATATGCTTGGTAAAGTTGTATTCTATCAGAGTGAGACTGTCAATGACTTTGCATACAGACTGTTTACAATGTGGTAGAGGTTGATAATTAGGCAGGGTGCTTCCTGAGAAGCTGCGCTCTCCTTGCTTGGGGTTCAGCAGGCAGATCCTGAATAAGCTGAAATTCATCCTGGAAGGTATGAGATCTCTGGAAGCGTGGAGCCCTCCTCACTCTTTAGGGGCCTTCAAGAAGATAGACCACTATTAAATACTTTAGGGAGAGGCTTAGTTTCTCTGAAATTTCCACTTAGTTTTGGAAACTTGGCCTTCATTATTTTGCAGTTTAAGTTCTTTTGACTTAAGTGGATATTTTGAGTGCACGCAGACTGTAACACTCATCTCTTCAGAAAATACAGATTCTCTTAAACAGTGTTTTCACTTTTAACCCTAAGGACTAAGTTGTCTGACGTATTTTGCTTCTTGGAAAATTACATTCTGTATTTTTAAAATATAGTGGCATAGAGGGAAGGTCTCTATGCATTGTGTTGTTGCATTGTACATGTGCTGAATATGCATGCAGGACGTGGAAATATTCGCTACGGGTAGAGAGGTGAAGTAATTTGTCCTTTGAGAGATTAACTGGTAAGCATTACAACTGTCTGCTGGATGTGGCTTCCAGAGCAAGTAGTAATTTCAAGCAGATGAAGTGAGGTCTGTAGTGAACAGTTCAGGAAGAGAATAAAAATAGGGATGAGAGTGTGAGTCTTGTCACTCACAGAGAAAAAATGTAAAATAGGAGGTGAAAAGGGTGACCACTGTGTTCCTGCAAGGAGTATGCCTTCACAGTTTCCCCATAAGATACATGTATTACAGTAGGTAAGGGATTTTCAGGCAAGGACTTTTAAGAAAGAAGATTCATGGATACAAAAGAAGTAGATTTTTAATTTCTCAGTGCAGCCAAAACAATGCTAGGATGAGCCAGTGGACCTCCAGTTCTTGGGAAGAAGTATAATGAGTAAATAACAAACAAGATCTCAGTGATTATCTAAAATGTGTATTTTGTCAAATTGGACTGACAAATTTCAATTCCAGTTCAGTGTTAGTTTCATTGATAGGATGAAACCACAGAATGTGTATCTAATGTTTAGATATAAATTTTATTTGCTTATCCTGATATCTGAAAAGAACTTTGTCCAAACTTCTAATAATAAAAATGACAATAAATTATATCAGCACACTGTATAGCAACAAGATGACGTATATCATATTTGCAATAGAAATCAATTTCAGACAAAAAAATCTAGGTGGAAGAAAAATGGTCACAAGCTATATAACATACCATCTCTGTTGTGGTAATATGATAAAGTAAATTTATTTTTGTCTATGTGTTTGTGAGCTGTTTTGAGCTTACACACAATGTAATTTAATTTATGCCTTTTGATTTATATTTTGGGAATAGCCCAAGCAATCCATGGAGGTTTCTATGTTAAATGATGTTAATCTATATTTGATTACTATGAAGTAAATCTAGAGGATACTGTAGTAATACTCTTACATACTCTTACCTGTCTTGACATTGTACTTGTGGTTCACTGGATCCACAGATATGGAATGAGATACTCAGATGAACTGATCCATGTGTAAAAGTCTCTCGGAATGACTATAACACTGTAGTGAGCAGCAGTAGTGCTGGAAACACCAATCCTCAAGTTCTGAGTCAGTTCAGTCTCAGGCATCTCCTACTAATTTGTCCTCATGTGTTAAATTCTTGTTTTCTCAGCTTTCATCTCTGAAACCAGAGAAAAAATAAGATTACCTTATGAAAGTTCTTTAGAACATGTTATAGCAATGAACTCATTAATGAAGTAGCATAAAAGAAATAAAACCAGCATAAGTTAAGGGTTAAGTTAGAGGTATATTGAAAAAGAAGTGCAACAGTACAATATTTAGATTTCTTCTGGCAAAAATATCTAAACCAGAGAACTGAGCCTTAGGGTGTAATTAGGTTGCTGCCACAGAGATGCACATTGATTCCTGAAGTTCATGCTGAACTGTGAACAAAGATGTGTTAAATGAAAAGGCACATAAGATTAGGGAGGTATTGAAGAAATAGAATCATACTAATTTTAAGGAGTAGAAGCAAAACTGCTCCCTTAAACAGTCTTTGAAAAGGGAGATGACACATAAAGCTGCCCACCAGAACCCTCTGAGGACCATAATGACTACTGGCAATGTGTTTGCAGCAACTTAGTAGGAAGGTCTCAGAAAGGTCCTAATACACTTTTCAGAAAAGCATAGACAGAGCCAAATAATAACTTTCATAATGGTTAGGGAGAGTAATATAACTCTAGTAAAATAGCAACAAGAACAGCTATTCTCTGCGGAGTCTTGAAGTCCCTACTGTGCAGATCCTTGCTTTCCCAAGTGGTTCGTGACCTAACAGCAGCACCCAGCCTTCTTAAATAGCGGCAGCAGCAGCTGCTCCACACAAATCCCAGATCCTCAATTTGTAGCAGCCGAGATGTCTCTAGGACAGTGTTTATCAATGATGTCTTTCTTTTGTGATGTTACAGTACTGGTTCAAATATAATAAAGTCCAGAGGGGTCTCTTTTCTCGAAGTCATGTCCTCAGTTATAAATCCTTAGCACGAATACTTGCTATCTGAAGAGTTGTGTCTTAATTACCGAATATTCACATTGTGCTTACAGTAATTATTTCTTTATAAAGTGAAGAACTTAACATATGTGAACTAAGTGTAGTAATTCTTGACACCAGCAGTGAGTGTCCTTGTTTCACTTGCTAGTTTTCTTACTAGCTCCCAAGGAACAATACCATTCAACCTGAGTCTATAAAGACTCTAGACACTTTTTAGGCACTGTGGTCTAATTCTTCACCAAGTACTCAATGCACAGACACATAGAGTAAAAAATTTGGGTGGGCCAGGGTGGCAGGAGCAGGCACCCCTAATATTGTGAATTTATGTTTGTAAAGCACTTTGCAGGCAAACTCCAGCTCATCTCAGCTTGGGTGTGCTCACACAGTCTCTGCCTATCTCAAAGCACATCTGGATCTCCAGCCCAACATCTTGGAAATATGGACAGCCCCAGAGAGAGCTTCCTCACATCCTCCTGCAAAACACAGTACAGATCAACTTGAAGTGAATTCTATTTAAAGACTCATTAAGAGATCAGGTTTAGTAGGTAACACAGCATATGCATTTATAGTGAAAGAGTAAAGGAGTTAAATCTTGAGGCAAGACAGGAGTCAAGAAGCAGATAAAATGACAGGGTGGCACAGTGGATCACTGTGATAACTGTGATTATTATAGCTTGTTATTACAGATCATAATAGAGACACACAGCATGCTATTTTCTTAGACCTCTTCTTTATAAGGCAGGAGGGAGTAGAATACGTGCCACTTAACAGTGCCACATTCTTGTATCCACCAGCAGCCATAGGGATTAAATCTGTAATTTCTGAGACTTCATCAATGTGCTTCTACTGTTCTTTTGTGCTAAAGGTGCTGGCTATCTGTATTAAGGTAATCTACATCATGACCATATGAGTCATCCTATAAATCATATGAATAAAATGTTTAAAGCTAGTAAAATTTTCTTTCAAAAATGACTTTTTTTTCCCTTTTTTTTGAAGTGTTTTTCTGATAATAAGCCCTAAACTCTGATACCCATGGATGCTGCAGAATTCCGCAAGAGAGGGAAGGAGATGGTGGACTATGTTGCAGATTACCTGGAGAAGATAGATAAAAGACAGGTCTTCCCAGATGTGGAACCAGGATACCTAAGGCCCCTCATCGCAGACTGTGCACCCCAGGAGCCTGAGAGCTTTGAGGATATCTTTAAAGACATTGAGAAGATCATTATGCCAGGGGTAAGAAAAATGGATCTGTAGTGTAATGTTCAATACTGCATTTAGGTTTTCAAAGACTTTAAAGAAAGCATGGGTTGAAGGCTGTGCAGCTAGACCTTACCAGCATAAGTACCCACACTATTAAACTTTTAGAAGGCAGGAGTCTTTACATGTTAAATATGATCTCACACTTTACACAACTAATGTTTTCTGTTCTTCCTAGAAATAATCAAATAATTCTTTTGCTTCAAGCAAGGCTTACTTTTGGAAATAATCCCCTTTCCTCCCTTGAATTGGTTAAGGCAAAGCTTTATAACTTTCAATGTCATGTGATATTTTTTCTACCCTCATAGCACAGTAAATATTTTACAAAATGGTAATTTTATTAGTCTGCTGTGCCTAAAGTGTTCTTTCAAGCTGATCTTTAAATGTTAAAATTCTCTTAGGAGACTTCTTTCTATTACAGAGTTGACTAGAAAGGATTCTCACTAATACTTGTTCTGTTGACTTGTGCTCTTTGTGCTCTAAATGTCAGCTTCTTCTAGTACCTAAAGGCAGATGGCCACTACCTAAATATTAGTCCTTGGATAGATCAGTATTGGACAACAATGCAGAACAAAGCATCTGGCACTTGTCCAGATCTGAATCTTTGTTGTTTTTCCACTCATGGTATACTTTTTTTATTTTAAATATATGCTTGTCTCCTAAGATCTCTAAGTAGCTTGAAGAGGACTGAATTATAAGTAAATGTTAATGAGGAATCTCTCCTTTGGATCTCTGCAATAACTACCTCGGGTTACTTCTCTAGATGTAGCTAGGTGATACGATTGTGATGTAAGTGGACATTGCAATCTCCAAATGTGGTTGGTCAGTGTACTATAATACCAATTCCTTTTCATTGACCAATGTAAATATTTGATATTCAAGAGGACTTTATCTTGTTTCCCTTGGAGCCAGCCCTGCTGTCTTTTAGCAGGCAAAAGCTTCACTGAAGTCAATTGAAATCTCTCCACTCTTTTCCAAGGTTTGTGGACGAAGTCTTAAATTCAACAGAGTTAAATCAGTGCAGATTAGATAAGAGAATTATATCCAACACATACAAATACTTTAATTGCTGCTCATAGACATGATTGTCTTTTCTTTTTCTTTGGAGAAAAATGGTAATGATTGTGAATTAGAACAGAAAACACTTTGCTTTGAGCACTTAAGAACATTCAATAAAATAATGCCAGATTAAAAAAATAAGAGATGACTCATTTGAGAATAGAAAGCGAGACATTGAATTCCAATTATGTCATCAATATGTCATGTTCCCTCTTAACTAAATTGATTTTTTTCTTGCAAAGAAGTTTCCTTTTACAAAATGATACATTCTGAAGAAGAAATGTTCTAACCAAAATCTTTCCACTGCTGTGAAATGTTAGTGTTAGTGACACAAAGAGCACAAGTACAAAAATCCCAGTTCTTATAGTAACTCTGATTCTACCTGTGTTGTTTATACTAAATTCTGAAGACTCGCGTGAGCACAGAATCATGAGGTCATAGTATAGTAGTGATTGGATGGTACCTCTGGAGATCATTTAGTCCACCCCCACTGCTCAAGGCTGAGTCAGTTAGAGTTAATTGTTTAGGACTATGTCCAATTGGTCATGGAATATCTCCAAGGATGAACTCTTCGCAATCTGTTGTCCTATTCCGAGGTTGGAACTGTCTCACAGTAAAAAAGCTTTTGCTTATGTTTAAGTAGAATTTTCTGTATTTCCATTTGTACACATTTCTTGTTGTCTTGTCACTGGATACTGCTGAAAAGAATCTGGCTTCACCTTCCTCACACCCTCCCATGAGGTGTGTAAAGAAGGTTAACACATTACCAAGATACCCCCTGAGCTTCCTACAAGCTGAACAATCCCAGCTGGAATTAATCATCTCCATGGCCTTTCACTGGAATCACTCCAGTATGACCATGTCTTTCTTTCTTGTACTGAAGAACCCAGAACTGGACACAGTGAGGTGTGGCCTCACTAGTGCTGCGAAGAAGGATTACCTCTTTTAACCTGTTGGCAACAATTTTCCCAATGTGGCCCAACAATGCTGCTGGCATTGTTTGCTGCAAGAGCACATTGCTGGCTTATGTTTAGCTTGTCCACCAGGACTGCCCGGCCCATTTCTTCAGAGTTGCTTGCCAGCCAGTCGATCCCTGGCATATACTGGTGCAAGGGGTTATTCCTCCCCTGGTATGGGATTTTGCATTTCTCTGTCGGACTTTATGGGATTCCTGTTGGCCCATTTCTGCAGCCTGTTAGTGTCCCTTTGAATTGCAGCATGACCATACCGTATATCAAACACTCCTCCCAGTTTTATGTCTTCTGCAACACTGCTAAGGGTGCACTCTATCACATCATCCTGGTCTTTAATGAAGATGTTAAACAGTATTAGCCTTTCCCATTCACAAAGCTTTGCTGCCTAGCCCAAATAACCTTCTTGTCCCATGTTTGGAAATACCTTAAAGGTTCTTTCATCTTCCCTGATATTGAGGTGAGGCCTGTAGTTTCAAAGATCATACTTCTAGCCTTTCCTGAAGATAGGAGTGACATTTGCTTTTTTCCCAGTCTTCTGGAACATTTCCAGTTGTTGTAACCTTTCGAAGATGTTCGAGAGAGGTCTCAGTGACACCCTTTAGCTCCTGCAGCGCTTGTGAGTGCATCCCGTTAAGCTTCATGGACTTACGTATATCCAGTTTATTCAAATGTGTCCTAACTTGATCCTCCTCCAGGTAAGGTCTTCCTTGCTCAAGTCTTTTCCCATGCATTTCAGGAGCCTGGGATTCCTGATTGGATGATGGAAAATGTAAAAATGGTGTTCCTTCAGAGGAGCAATGATCAATTAATAGTGTGAAGCAATTATGCAGTATCCATTGCTGTCTTTACCCCATAGGAGAACAATCATTCATAAGTGGTGAAACTTCTTCATGGTGACTTATTGTGAAATGTAATGTAAACCTCCAAAGGGCAGTCCACCAAATGATGATGACAATAATGGTGGTAAATTCCTGATATTTACACAGGGACAGAGGGAACAACCAGTGAACTCTGATCTCCACAGCAGGAAGGCAACATGGAAAGGATCTGCCTGTAAAAATATCAGTGGGAGTCACTTCCCTCTCTCAGATTTGCTTTGTTCTTTTGAAATGTATCTCCTCATTTTTCAGAGCCAAAGAGGAGTGTAGTCGTAACTGCAAATATCAGTACTGAAGATGCTACTTTTCCTCACATTGGATCTATTAATGTATGAACTTTCAGCTGAAGTACCTATCTTTAGTGTGTGGTAAGGGAAGACTGTTTCTTAGACTAAAGAAGCCAGAGAAAGACATCCTTAGAAGAAATACTGGAAATCACATGTTTCTGAGAAGCATTAGAGTGGTAATTAAAGTGAACCCAAGACACTTGTGTATCATTATTTATCAGCAGCAGGCTGAAAAAACAAGCATCAATTATGCTATCTTTGAAATATTTGACTAAGTGTGTCTGTTCCAACATGGTGAAAAAAAAAAGAATTTTACAGCTGCTTCAAGAGGAGGGGGAAGGGGAGGCAGGAGGAAGAACCACAGCTGCACTTGCCCTAGGGCTTTTAGCATTTTTGCTTTATGTGAGTAGTGCAACTGAAATCTGCTGTGTTTCATCAAATAAATGGCTCCCAGCAAGCAGTCAGTTTAACTTGATTAACCCAAGATGAATGTCACAAGTCTTACAGATCACAGAGAATTAAAGCTGGGGAGATGCACAGTGGCAGTCCTGGCGTGTTATGGACGTCAGTGAAAGTGTGATGTGTTCTATCAGGGACCACTGTTTCTTGAATATTTTATTGTTTTCTTGTGAAGAACCAAGTCCCATACAATTTCTTTCTGATTTGTGAAGGAAAGTGTTTGCCACAAGTGCTCTAAACTTTGTTACAGCAAAGAAGGAGATCCTGACCAAATATGAGATGCAGCTGGAAATGTTCACAGTGGCTTGTCTTTGGATAGCTGATTTGACAGGTTTGGACCTAGTGATGAGAAAAAGGAAATCTTGAACATACCAGGTACGGGCCTAGTTTATACAGTGAAAAATTGTAATAGATAGGAGCTGTTTTCATATGAAAGAGATAGGAACATCTGAAATTTTATATATGGTATACTACAGCAGGAGAAGTGATGCCTGACTCATTGTGTATGCAAGAGTTAAGACAGTTTCCCCTTAGCATGAAGCATGTCCTTTCAGGAAGAGCTGGTGGTTGGCATGAAGAAGGTTAGAAGAGGAAGAAAAGGGATATTTGCAGAATGCAGAACAGTGCAGTAGAGTGATTCCTGAGTTAGCTCCAGAATCAGAAACCTTATCACAGACTGGGAGAGAGGAGTGTAAAAGGTAAAATTCTTGAGATGGGAATGCAGAACAAAACAGCAAGGAAACACTGAACTCAGGTAAGAGAGAATGTGTATTCTTTCTCCCCTCTGGTTGTAACAGAAGAATTCCAGTATTAAAAAAGAGGAAACAAAATGATGTAAGAAAAGGCTAGCCTTCAAAAATCTCATCAGCCTCTGAATTACCCCCAAGAAAAAAATCTTATACATGTTCTGCTGAATTATCACTTATAGTTCATCTAATCCTCTAGAAACACTTCTTAGAAAATATGCCTTTTACCTTGAATGTGAAAGTTGTTTTTGCCAAACATAGCACATTATCATATCACATTATGTCTCATGATCATTGCAATGTGGCTGTACATTTCCTGGTTTTGAATTTTATTAGATTGGAGTTGTGGAGCATTATCAAGTATCTCACAGATCCTTAAAATTGCTTAGATATTACATTAGGTGCTTGAATGTTAACAAATAACACCAGAGTGTGGGCAAGAAAGTTCTGTGGACCTCTGCTGCACTGAAGACACTATTGCTAAGGCAGTTTCATGACAGAGATGGAAGAACAAAATACCAGGGAGTCCCTGATAGCAGAGGCTCAAGAATAGTGTCCTGTGCAGAAGCTTAGGCTGCCCCAGCCCACCTAATTCTTGTCTTCTAGGCAGACAAATGGAGAACTCTGATTTTGGAACTGTTGGGAAGTGAGGGTGAGAACCGATTTATTTTTGAGTAAAAGGTAGATAAGACATTGTAAAAAAACAAGGTAAGTTCTTCTAAAAAATGGGATCTTCTGTTACAGCCAGGTAGTTAAGCACCGTTGGCTTGTCTCAAACTCCAACCTTCTAATTTTGTGACAATTTATTTCTGCTTCCTGCGTTAGTTAAAAGTTACTATTGTCCCCCTTAATACAGGTGACTCATTGGCACAGTCCGTACTTTTTTGCCTACTTCCCTGCAGCCTCTTCCTTCCCAGCTCTTCTTGCAGATATGTTGTGTGGTGGAATAGGATGTGTGGGCTTCTCTTGGGTAAGTTTACTCCAGTGTGTACTGCTGTGTGGTAATGATGCTTCACCTTGCCAAGATTTTAAGCATTTCAGTAACATTCTACAGTGAAATTATTGATTAATAGCAATGAAGTCACAGGACTCTTTTTGCAGGTAAATTTCCTTAACTAATTAAGTGTTTTCACACAGACACCCTGAATAACTCGAGGAATAAAAGGCTATTTCCTCTTAAAAGTTTTGACCTTGAAAAATCACCAGCATTTAGAATTAGTAGTAGCAGTGCAAACTCCCTGGTAATTCAATAAGTATATGACTACTGTCTATCACCCAGTGTTGTTATTTCTCATTTCATCTGGATGAATGGAAAACTGTGTTAAAAACCTCACATTCATATGAGGTGGACTCTTATCAAAAGAGGCTGGTATTGGATGTTGAAAAAAAAAAGCAAGATGCAAATCTTAGCTTTGACATTTGATAGTTAAAGTTCTGTGTAAGGCCTATTTTTATATTCTTTTTAATAAGTATTAGAAACAGCATGCAAAAAGTGGTCTTCAGGTCCCTAATTTGGCTGGTAACATTAGTCATCTAGTCTCTTCCTCCATAGTGAAAAGACAGAGAAAGAATTATTCTTGCTCTGGTAGATCTTATTTCTCTTCATGGTGTAGTGAGGTTATTCCCTATGTTCTGGTTTTCAACACAGGCTGCAAGTCCAGCTTGCACAGAGCTGGAGACTGTCATGCTGGATTGGCTAGGGAAGATGATTAATTTGCCTCAAGAATTTTTAGCTGGGAAGGATGGCCAAGGTGGAGGAGTGATTCAGGTAAGAGGGGACCTGAAAAAAGAATACCAATTGAGTTTGTGAATTGATGATTTTGTAAAATCTTTATACTAAGACACTAATAAAGGGAATAATTTTTTTTTCTGCCACATGGGTTCCTTTCTAATTTTCAGAAAGATTGATGCTCTGTGAGAAGGTCAATATGTGGGTAGGATCATTCACGAACGTAATGACATGAATGTTTTGATTTTAGAGCAGCTGATTTCTGAAACACTTCTCTGTGAAGAATTACTAGTAGTTCAATTTAAAAGCACAGTTTAGGCTTAAAATTCAAATCAGAATAATTTAATTTGTTGATCAATGAATTGAACTCATACTTACCAACAATGTGCGGCAATGTCTCATAGCTGAAATTAGAAAAAATCTTCTAAAATAGAAATATATCTGAGGATTTGAGTAGAGCAGCATGAAAAGTGCTTACAAAGGCTTCCCTGAAGTCCACCTTATGGATGTGCAATTGTTTACTTCAGTCAATTTTCAAAAGAGCCTTCCTGTTTTTTTCTTTTTTAGGAGAAAAAGTGTCAGAGATCAAGCAATGGATAACAGCATAGGAGATAATCTTCAATACATAGAAATAGCAGAATGTTGTAGAAAGTCTGTCACTCTTTGCCAAAGAAGTTGAAATTATTTTAAGAAATATTGGAATATTACAATAAAATGAAGAGCTGCTTAAAAGTTGAACCTAAGCAGTACTATCAGTAGATAATACCATTTTCAGACTACACTGCATCTTCAAAATAGAACAAAACCTCAAACTTTGACATTGACTGCTTAATGAAACCTACAATGTCTGAACAGATAGCATGAACAATAATGAGTATGTCATCAATGGGCAAACTTGCCTGTATAATAATGCTATATTATTTGTCAGCCATAGCTCCACTAGCACATGGTCATTCTGCAAATGCAGCTCTGGTCACAGCTATTAATCTATTTAAATAGATCTCTACTGTGAAAAAGACTAAACTTTAAATAATTGTTCTGTGCTCCTTTGATAGTCTCTGTAGTCTGGTCATTGGAGGCCAGGGCACAATCCATTTTATCCCAAGACAGACTTCTAATATACATCTGTATTAGAGGCTAGAATCAGAGGCTTCTTTCTTTGATCTCAGCTGCAAATGCCTACAGCATATTCCAGTGAATTCCTCCCAACATCTTCCAAGGCAAGAATGAATTTAACCCAACTGTTTTGATTCTCCTAGGTGGAGCTGCACCTACACCAGTGCATTTACAGTATAGTTCTTTATTCATCTCCTTGCCCTGTTAGTATCTTTATCATTACGATTGCTAGGGAGGGGGTTACATTCAAGAAATCAAGCTTTCGTCATGCATCTTAGTAGCATCTCTTTTGTACCAGTGAAAGCAAGCAATTATGCCTGATTGTTATCAGCAGGAAATATTGCCCTTCCAGGCTGACAGTGCCATATTGCCCATAATTTTCATCAGAAACCAGTCAGTTTTAAAAATCGAAAGTGGGTTGTGTTCCTGCTTACAATGCAGTCATTTGGGCTGCATATCTTCCTCTTGCTCCTGAAACAATAATGATACAAATAAGAGGCAAAGTGTGAGGCAAAGACAACAGGAGTGTGTGAAAGTGCCAGTCATTCTCTTGGTAAATGCCAAGTAATTATTGTGGTATTGGGTAAAACCGAGCCTGCGAAAATTGGCTCTTAATTACATTTGAAAGTCTATGTCAATATGAAGCACTTTGTTGTTGTGTGCAGGATGACACTTCAAAATGGCAAAAGATGAAAGAAAATTTCAGTTCAGAGCTCTGGTGGACATGAACATCAGCTCTTGCTGATATTTCTTCCGCCTCTTGAGCCTGCTTGCCATGGCAACCTTTGTTTGCTTGTGGTAAAAGGAAAGGTATCATCATCCTTCACTTAATGTAGAATACAGCATTCAAGAAGGGGAAAAAACAGCTTTTAAAAATAAATGAGAAAGCAACTTTTTTCCTGAAGTTTGTATCCTGCTGTTCATTCTAGATAAATTGCTGGAAAGTGAATTTTAAAGAGGTTTTTTTGCTCAGCAAAGTATTTTAGGGGTGAGACAAAAATATCGTTGGCCTGGCAAGGAACACTGCTGATTTATCTTGCTTGTCAGTTAGCCAAGTAGTTCAAGAACCAAGGGGGGTTTTTTCCTTAAAAATATTTAGTGCAAGACATTGGTGCAAAGTGTTTAGAACAGCCTTGGAAACCAGGTTCTGCAAACACTGTAAGCTTCAGTATAAAAAAAGTGACTCAGTATAAAAAAGGTGATTTATGGAAACTGAGGCAAGGTGAAAAAGCCTGTGTCTATTGTGAGACATCCAAAAGCATCCCCAAGTTGCTGGATTCAGGTGTCTTTATTTAGGCTATGGCCCAGCTGTATATCAGAAGGCAAGACTCAGCTGGGCAGCAGGCCCTTTCTTTTTCATCCATGTTTCTGTATAAGGAAATTCGTAAAAGAACTGTTGTATACATTGACTATGCACCAGTCTGGATGAACAGCCAGGATATCTTGTGGAACTCCTCCGAAAGCTGAGGCTCTTCTTCAGCCTAAGTCATTCACCCACCCAGCCAGGCTGTCACCTGAATAGTGCAGGCCTAAATTTCCAGATCTCAAATTAATGCCTTAACCGTTCGAATTTCTTACAGCCATTTTCTTTCATATATATGTGCACATTTTTTTAATATGCATATTCCTTACATGTCCTGGAAATACACTAACAGTATAAACAGTTATTTTATTTCAGATATTTTGACTTCTTAGACAGAAAAAGTAGGATGATTTTACCATGTGTAAAAGGCACCTTTGTCTTATAAAAATAGCTCAGCTAATTTCAGTATAGGAGAAACTCTGAATTCACTGGAATCATTTTCACATATGAAATCTGTCAGATCAGGCCCATCTTCAGGGAAGAAAAAAGACTTCTCAAGTATTTAAACATTTGTTGTAATTACTTAGTATTCATAGGTCTTCAACATAGAGAGGATAGAATTTTGCTACAGGACAAAAAACATCACTCCAAAATTAGTTTGTTGACACTTGGGATATTTCAGAGACCTACATATTAATTTAATCAACTGTATTCATTGCACTGTTATGATTCACATGATGATTGATTAACTTTTAAAGTACCTAAAATCTTGTTCTTGCATAAGACACCCCAGTACACTGAAATTGATGAACATATGTTTACAAACTGTTACTTGTGTTTTGAAAGAGCAGTTTAGAGCATGTCTCTTCTGCCTATTCTAGATGAAAACTGTAAAAAGAATTTTTGGAAAGTTGTATTCTGTGAAATCTACTGAGAAATTGATACAAAAAAAATTCCCCCTTTTGTTGTCACAAAGTATCCAAGGCACATTTTAAACTGATGTTTTGTGAGTCAAAGTGCAATTTAGAAATAGCGTGTAACTGTTCTTTTCATCTGTGTGTTTGTGAAAGAAAACATACATAACTAATACTTTGAAATGCAATTAGCTATAATCAATCAGCATTTTTTGGTTTTCAGTGTTTTTTCTCTTTTAGACACAATAATTGACTTACACAGGGTAATTCTAATGTCAGAGAAGAGATATAATTAGGCATGTTGCTTGATAGAAGTGAGAGCTGATGTTCAGATCCTGATGGAACTTAAATGAGCAGAAATCCAGAGTTAGAACAGAAATCAGCAGTTAGCCTGCCATTGTTACTGGTTAACAACTGATTAGTGCCTGATTTGAGAGCCTTTTCAAGTACATTTAAGTCTGTGAGTCCATCTTTCTAGCACTGACTGCAAGGCTGGTGCCTAAGATGAACAGCATAGAGATTAAAGAAAACAGGCAGAGGCATCAACAAGGAGGAGACAAAGATTAAACACAGGTTCTGCCCTTGCTGTCAGACATATTTTTAAAAGTAGTTTCTCATCTGCAGTTTCTGTTAACAGCTTTGCAGATTCATGCAGAAGAAAACGTTGCTTTTCTTCTTCTAGAATGTTTTCATTTTGAACCTTCTCTCAATTTGTCCCACAGGGAAGTGCAAGTGAGGCCACCCTGATTTCACTGCTTGCTGCTAGAACAAAAACTATCAGACGTGTGCAGTCAGAAAAACCTGAGCTAACAGAAGCAGAGATCATGGGCAGGCTGGTGGCTTATGCTTCTGATCAGGTGAGTACCTCTCACTAACATGGAAACATGGCATCTAATACTTAACAATTTCAGCCGTCTGAATGGGCAGGTGAATTAGGCATAAACTTCTTGGATTGGTCACTATTTGGTTTTGGTTGTTTAAATCTTACTGTACATCATAAGTGTATCCCTCAGGGGTCCATACTGGGACCAGTATTATTTAATATCTTCATTAAGGACATAGATGAAGGGATGGAGTGTACCCTCAAGAAATTTACAGATGACATTAAGCTGAGTGGTGCGGTTGATAAACCTGAAGGATGGGATGGCACCCAGAGGGACCTGGACAAGCTCAAGCCCATGGGAATCTCATAAGGTTTAACAAGACCAAGTGCAAGGTGCTGCACCTGGGTCAGGGTAACCCCTAGTATCAATACAGGCTGGGGGATGAAGGGATTGAGAGCAAGCTGGGCCCAGAAGGACTTGGGGGTGCTGGTGGATGAGTGGCTGGACATGAGCCAATGATGTGCACTCACAGCCTAGAAAGCCAATTGTATCCTGAGCTGTATCAAAAGCAGTGTGGCCAGCAGGTTGGGGGGGGGGGGGATTCTGCAACTCTGCTCTGGTCAGACCCCACCCCCATGGTTTTAAACTGAGAGAGAGTAGGTCTAGAATAGATATTAAGAAGACATTCTTTACTGTGAGGGTGGCAATGCACTGGAACAGGTTGCCCAGAGTGGTTGTGGATGCCCCATCCCTGGAAGTGTCAAAGCCAGGTTGGATAGAGCTCTTGAGCAGTCTGGTCTAGTGGAAGGTGTCCCTGCCCATGGCATGGGGATTGGCACTAAGTGATCTTTGAGGTCCCTGCCAACGCAGGACAGTCTATGATTCTGTGATAAGTGGGCTGGAATCTCATGTGTGCTACCATAATACAAAGGGTAAATATCCAAACGTCAGTGTTGCATAAGTATTGCTTCTTTATAAAAAGAGCTCATTTGAAGTAAATAAAGATAATTAAATAAGGTGTTAATTTTAGTTATGTTGAGTCATTCTAGACCATCTTTTGTTGCATCCAAGCTTGTATGTCCATCTATGCGCGCATGTACATACACATGTGCAAACAAACACACATACATCATCCCCCTATATGCCTGCATGGGTGCAGGTGCAGGTACACAGACAAACCTAATGCATGAATATAAAACAAATTCATCACAGTACTTGAAGAAGCTCAAAACATTTTTTGTTTGTTTTTAGAGAAGAAAAATTCTAAGATCTCCATCTGTCAATCCAACTAAGAAATCTTTTAAGGAAACAGAAAATATAATCCTTGATTTCTGACTGTGAGTGGTATTTAGCAGACTGAGTTATGCTAAATGCTCAGCAGGCCATGAGAATGAGACATTTTTACTATTAATGAGAACAAATTGTACTCTTATGAGTTCTGCTACTGCTACCTTTCTGACACACTAATACTACTGAAGGGCTAAGCACTGTTGTTTCTCAATAGCTGTAATGTTTTCTTACCTACAGGTCAATGAGACAGAAAAAAAAAAAACCTTCCTTAGTACCTAACATTTTTTTAAGTAATATTTGATTATGCAGAATAAAATGGCCAGGTTTCAGCCTTACTTTGATTTACTACTAAGGGTATGTTAAAAAGCACTGTAGAAGAAGTTAAAAGTACACTTGCTCTTTGCTGGTGGCAAGAGGGACTACACTTGCATGGTAAGAAGATTCAAGAAAATATGAGGAAAGATAACTGCTTTCAAAAGGCACAAAGGATATTTGTCCTTTTTTTTGCCCAAGACCCTAAGGTCAGTATTGCGCAGACCACCAGTCCCAGAGCTCTGACTGACCCAGTGATGCACAAAGCCTTTTACTTGTTTTGATTTTTTATCCCATGTAAGTGGCTCACCTGAAATGAGGACTGACAGGCCTTCCTGCCTACTGAAGGTCAGAGGATCTTGTGTTTACAAAAGGATTTGCCTTAAGACACTGTTGACCTTTCAAAGCGGGTTGTTGCAGAGCTCACTGTTCCTTCTGCATTAAGAACAGACCTGTGTGACTCACAGGTAATAATCCACAAAAGAAAGTTAAATGTAAGCCATTCTGTGGGAGTGAAAACCATTCACTGGCAGAGTCCAACAATGCAAGAATGCATTTGGAAGAGAATCTTGCTACAATTTTTAAGTCTTGATGAAGCAATTTAGAGGTTCTGACTGGCTAAAAACCTCAGTGTATTATTATAGTTTGCTTATTTGCAATTCTTGTATATATAAGTTATAAAACATATTTTTCCATTGTACACTTGAATGAAGTATGGTATTGCTATGCCACACATTGTTTCCACTTCAAAAGTTATATTTCAAGTCTAGGCTTCCAAATTTTCTCAAATTGGTGCCTAATTAGTTTACCAAAGCATTTTAAAAAAGAGGCACTGCTGAGATAAAAGTTAATGATACATCTGCCTTTAAAACATGTAATTCCAGGGATATGTGAAGTTGAAAGGCAAAATCTTGATCTTCATCTAGTCAGTTTAACTGAAGTTTTGGATTATTATTTTTGTGATTATATGCTAAATTAAAGTAGAATTAATAAGCGCTCTTGTACGCTCTGGCAAGATTCAGCAAGGGTAAGATGGAGATGTGAGTGAGAACAGTCATGATATAAAAAGGTGAGGAATTTTTCTCTTTCAAGTTAATGATGATTAATGAAACTGTAGAAGGTGAGAGGTAAAATAGGTTTTTCTTTTGTTTTAGTCATGTAAATGAGAGTATTTTGTGGCTAAATGTATCTTTCGTTGTCAATAGTTATTCTAGTTATTATTCTATTGTACTTCATAATTTTACAAGAATTTCTTAGTGATATATTTGTTTTTATTACTGATATGTGCTTTATGCTCTAAAAAATATTATTTCTGGAGAATTCAAATGAGGTGGGTTGTAAATAAAATAAAATAACATATTGGGAATGATCCTTACTTGCCTAACAAAATGAATGAATGATTGAACCACAGTTTAGTCAGCACATCATCTAAAAAAAATGGTAATGTAAGAAAGTATCTCGGTTTTTATCATACCATGACGTGTATTATTTTAGAGGTCACCAAAGCTGTATACTATAAAAATACGCTAGTGAGCAACTGAATCATTATCAGGCATGCTGATTATCTGCACATCTTTTGGTTGATTTAGAGCCAAAACCTCAAGCTCTCCATCAGTCTTACCATGTTAATTAAAGATCTCACTAAGGTTAATTGAACTCCGGTCTGAATTGTGTCATGACAATGATCTCAAGGATATTTTAGGGTTTCTATCAGTTAATTGTGTGTGTAGGTATATATATTTATGTGTGTCCATCTGTCTGTCTATCTGTATGAAAGAGACAGAGGTATGTATCTTTTACATACCATCAACAGTCCCAGGATCTCAAGTATTGCTTTACTTGAAAGAAATTAATTTTTTTTTTTAAATTCAAATGAACTCACATTCCAATAAAAGGTGTCAGTCTTAAAACTTCCCCATTTCCTTGTAGGCTCATTCATCTGTGGAAAGGGCTGCATTAATCGGTGCTGTGAAGATTAAAAACGTTCCTTCAGATGATACATTCAGTGTTTGTGGTTCAGCCCTGAAGAAGGTTCTGGATGAAGACAAAGCTGCTGGTCTTATACCGTTCTTTGTGAGTGCTGGATTTTAATTAATCAGTGGATTTTTTGCTTCTGATAAGCTACTTCTGACAAGAGTAGATGGTCTGATATGTAAGAGAGGCACTGACAGGCAGCTGAGCTTCCATGAGAGCTCAGCAGGAGAGGTTCCATGAGTCTTCTTCACATGCCTTTCTGTGCAGGAGGAGAAACTAATTGGAGCAGACGATTGCATTTCTCAGCAAAATGATGTTTTAAAAGGACTTAAAGTTATATTAGACTGTTGAATAAATAGGGGCCCATTTTGTAGTTGCAGGTAGTTTTGTAGTGTTATAATCTCCCAACCCTTGAACTCTGAACCGTTTACCTTTATTTTTCAGTTTCTAACTTACTTACACTTAAAATAAACTTAAAAGAAATAAATTAAATAATGCTCCCTCAAGCTTAAGTATCTTCAAGAAACAAGTTTCCCCTCCTCAGTATCTTAGCAAACAAATGAACCTCCATAATATACCCCAAATATCATCAATATCAGGCATTGTCAGTTGGGTATTTGTGAGTACATAACTAATCTCTAACACGTGAGCTATAGGGAATGTGGCTGTGGAAGCTTCAAGTGTCATAATTTTTTGTTATCTGTCCACTTTCTTTTCCAGAGATTCCTGCTTTTACAACAGTCTAGCAAAATCTCCCAATTTTTGACATAGAACAGTGTTAGATTAGATAAAATTCTAAAGTTGTCTTCTACTATAAGTACCTGATCAAAAAGAATATTTGCTTATTTGTCAGATCTACTCCTCCTGCCGGTTCAGAGCACCATCTTATTATTTCAAGTTAAAACGAGATTTTACCATTTGACTTTGCCCATGAAGTTAGTAACTTCTGCTGTGGTTTTGTACATCACCAACAAAATTTTTTGCTTGTTTCCAAGCATTATGTCTCTGCAAAACTTGATATTGACCATGGGCTGTGTAGATCTATTAAGGGGTATAATATGCTACAAGGAATATGTTTTTACTGGCCTCCACTGAAGAAAAAAACCCCACCGACAACTAATTTAGAAACTGAGAACTTCAGAAACTGATTTTTCAAGAGATTGAAAAATGTGTCACAATGTTTTCAGAAAAGTCATGTCTGATGAGTTTTTTTCTTTTTCATGTGGTAACATTTTGAAAAGGGCTAATGTGAACTTCAATTTCTATGAACTGTTTTTAGAAGAATTAGCCGATTAAGCTTTCTTACACTCATGAATAAGTGCCAAATGAGACTAAGAAGCTTAAATTTCACCAAGCTCTTTTGAAAATATAATCTTTTTACTGTTCTTGTTACTAACCTTTAAAGTTTGTTTTTATGTAATATGAGGATGACTAGAGTGAAAAGCGGTTTTATATGTGCAGAATGATGCTAATTTCTAGGCTGCCTAGAATGACTGAGTCCTTGGAATGACCAAGCGCATCCTATCAATTGCTTCCCAGTATAATAAGACTATGACTGAGAAACAAAGCATCTCTAGGTCTTCCAAAATGAACTTTTTTCTGTGGGCTGCACCTATTGAGGTGAAGAACATGCCACAAGGCATGTTTTATTTCTCTGTTATGTGATCCCAGCTCATAATACCTTAAACAGGATCCTACTTTTGTATCTTACTGTTAATTTTAAACAATTACAAGTACAGCACTGTATAATGTCTTTATGCACTAACTGCCAAGTTCATGTGTTTTTTTCCTCAACTTTTGTCCATTAACAAAAAAAGAGGCAACTTGCCCTTCATAAATATTCATTCCTTATTAATTTTTCTATGTGTAACAAGGAAATAAAAAAATATGGTTTATGTGTTCAGTGACACCTTTACAACAGATGATTTAACTGTTGTTTATCTTCCTCTGTTTGTTTACCTGTGCAAAACAGGCTTTCAAAGACAGCAGAGGCTCCATCTGAGTTAATATGGCCTGTACTGGATCTTCCATTTATTTGTATGCATAAAACATGTCATCTTAGATTAAAGTAGATTTCATTATCCTTATGGTTGGCTACTTAAAAGGTGTGCTAATTCTCTGCCATGCTGAGCAGCAGTCTATGGACCGTATTAGTGCTCCCTTTTCTGGCTTGAAGATTTCAAAAGCATTTCCATTTCTTTTGTTCTTGAGTAATTTGGTGCTATTTTATTTTGTTCTGACAACAAAGATATGCACATTACCAAGGAAACACCTTATGCCACTTGATTCCTTGTCTCCCTGTACTCACTGATCCTTCAATAAGGGGAGTGATTCAACATCAAAGCAACAAGTTTGACAGAAGAAATTCTGCCTGAAGAGACTTGTGAGAGCAGACAGATCATTTCTAATGAAGATGTCTTGTTTGCATCCAAGCTGTTTCAGTCTCCCTTATCAGCAAGAAGTTTTGTAAGGGATTAAAAAGAAAATTCAACTAAATTACAATGCCTTATAGGCATGATTCTCCTCTTATACTTAATGAATAAATGAGGAATCATTATACTGAACTTCATAGAAATGCTTTCCCTGTAGAGGTGAGTGGAGAGTCAGGGCCAGGTTTTGTTGATGTGAAAGAGGTTCTGTCATTACAGCAGTACGGTAGTTATAGGTTTACTTTTCACATACATAGGATTTTTTCAGTCAGCCTTTTTTTGGGGAGAGGCATTGTCTTTAAAAGGAGTCTTTGCATTCCTATCCACCATCAGTATCTTTTAGCATTAGTAATGTGTATATCTTTCTGTTCAGTGAAGGCTATTGCCAGTAGGTACCCAGATCTCTACTTTTGTTTTCATTTTTTTATTTCTAAATTCAGACTTGTGTTAATTTGTCTGTTTCAAAATACTTTTGCAGAAATTGAAACAGGGGTATTTTCATATAGTAAAGCAAGCAGACTGTGCAAACAATGCACTTAACCATGTCAGGTGTCGAGACTAGTTGCCCCAATTTACCAAGGAGCAATTTCCCAATGTGGATGATACGCAGCCCTTCATCTGGCCACCATTAAAGGGTGAGCTTTAAAGCATATGCTGAAGTCATGTCCATTTTATTAATTATAAACACACACTGGTGGTTAAACATGTGGTAAATGCCTTTCTCAGCTGGGCCCTATGGTCCCAGTTTGAGACAGGCCTCTGCCTTCGCTGAATGTTGACTGGGATGCTCAAATTTGGAGACCACTAAGTTAAGCACTTCTAAGTTCAGATGTAGTGTCCACTGCATTCAAGCCCAGTTCACTTGAATGCGTGTAAGTGGCCTGTGAGCTTTATGCTGGCTTTCATAAATCAACACTGATAGGTTGCAGCGGCATATATATAGTACAATTCACTTCAACAGCTTATCCAGTATAAAGCTCCTATGACATGGTTACCTTGCTGCCCAGCGTGAAGTCTCTCTGATTCTAGCTGCAATGACTTTTCTGAATGATGATCTGCAGGATATTAAGAAGCAGGCTGTTTATATCCAGACTCACTTGGGAAACAATAAATCAGAATCAGACTGACAGAGGAGCCATCTTTTCAGTAGAAATCAACACTTAGATCCTGACCACAGATTTCCATTTGGAAGAAGCATTCTGGAGACATGTACAGATGCCTAGGGTGATGTTTCTTAACCCACAGTTTATGAATGATTGCTGTTTTCTAAAATAGCGAACAGTGGTTTAGAGAACTATTGCAGTTTTCTTCAGGTCACAGAATTGTCGTAAGTGCAAGCCAGCAAAGAACTGAGTAGGAGAAAATAAAAACAGTAAGGGAACATTGAAAGTCCTGCCTCATTTTAGTTAGTTGCAAATGAAAAGCTTGGTGATGAAACCATGCAAAATGTGTCCATGTCTTTTGCAAAAGCTATAGGAGGTTCTTCCAGTTGAAAAGATTGAGAGTAATTGCTCTCAGGCATCATAAATGTTCATGGATGTTTCCTGATATAGCTCCTCCTTTCAGGAAACTAATACATGAGATGACTGATGCAAGCTTTTTAACTGTTTTGTATTCACAGCCAGGGCTGAGTCAAATTTGAAGTGCACAACCTGAAAAGGATAAGGCCTGCAGGCTATACTGAGCCATCAGTCCCATTTCTGTGATGTAGCCTGTTCCCTGCCCTTTGCACAAATGTGATTTTTCTGGTGTTACATAGGCTACAAATTGAGTTAGATTCATTCTGTAGTACTGAGGCGGGGTAATGAGAGTCCTGACAAGAGCAGATGCTGTCACTTTAAGTGGTTTCTGAGAATTAAGGCAAGTAGCTTTGAGGCTTAGACACTTGCAGAGAGAAAAACAAAATTATTTTAGAAAATGAGGTATACTTTACAGAATAAGCCATTATTTAAACAACTAAGAATATGTTTGAACTCATACAATCTCTCATTGAAAAAACATACTCCTTATCCTGATTAGAAGGAGAATACCTTAACTGCAGTACAATGCTAACAACAATAATGTGTAACTTTCTGTTGTGAAATCTTCCTCATTATTTTAATTGCTGGACTAACCAAAATAGTTTCACTCTAATCTTGTCAGAAAATTCATAGCATATTGTCAAAAAATATAGGTGTAAAATCAGTGTTAAGTCTATAGTGCACTCTTTTATTTATTTCCCAGTCTAATGGGTTAACCCCTATCCTTTATGTATATAGAAAAATTGGAATTTTCATCATGGAATCCTCCAATTCTTATGATCCAATGTGTAGATCTTCAGCCAAAAACGAAATGCAGGTTTCTCCTGATTGTGGAAACATCTTAGGTAGATGACAATATGATAAATATATTTTCACTCCATACATGCATGCCCTCTTAGTAAAAATAGGGACCAAATTTATTCCTATTTCAAAAGATACCCTGCAATCTTTTCAAAGCAACCTCCTTCAAATGGTGATTGGTCTTCCAGAGAAGTCGTAAATGTACCTCAAAGCACTTTAATTTTTTTGTTCTTCTCATGTGACTCAGGAATATAGGAAGGCCCAGTACGGATAAAGATTAGATTATTTTGAGGGGAAAATATGTTAGCACACAATTTTACCAACTATATATACAGTATGATTCTCATTTTCAGAACTGTATTTGTTTCAAACTCAGGTTCTTAGTAGCTTGATACAGAAAAAATACTGTATTTTCCCTTTATTATTTTAATAATTACTTTTTGCAAGTTTTGCTATGACATTATGTTTGTTTCTGGAAAGGTCTAGTGGATGGCCAAGTATCATCTAGGTTTTTCCTTTTTCTTCTTATTGGTCTCATCATGAATTCACTGAGGGACATATGCATGCATACACACAGAAAAATGTGGCTAGTTGCTGATATATAGGGAAAAAACTGTAAAAGCAAAAGATACTGCATTGACAGTGTACTTGGCAGAAAAAGTACATAGAAATAATAAAATAAAAAAGAGCAAAATTCTGGATTTGGCATTTTTATAGTCATCTCTTGGCTGTACTGTAGTCTGTGTGTGACCGTGGATAAATTATCTAATGCTTTTGTACTTCAGTACTCTGACTAAAACCCAGCTTACTTTATTTATCTATTTAAACTGCAAAGCATCTTTTATTATGTAAAAAACCCAGTACAAGACAAAAACCAGACCCAGCCTTTATTAGTGCTTTCAGGTTTAAAACGTAAATAAAATAATGTCAGTTTAAATGCACTTGGTATTCGGGATTTTTTGGTAAAAATTCTACCTGCATATTCCCAGTAAATTATGATAGCTCATTTTCTCCTAATTATATTCTCTTTCTACTGTGAAATTTAAGCATTTATGTTAGCTCTGCTTTTGACCCACTGATCACACAGAAGGGTACATTAAATGAGACATTACAAGAATGAAGGAGAAATAGTTCCAGTATTTTAGGATGAATTTCTAAGAAGTTTATCTGGGAAAAAATCTTGCAAGTCTAATAGTAAACATATGCTACTAGTGAACAGCTTCCAGGCTGCAGATCCATTGAGCATAAATCAGTTACAAATCTCTGTTGCAGAGCTCCAGTTGAGGCAGCAGCATTTGTGACCTATTCTGTCAACAAGAATGCCAGCACCATAGTTGCTCAAGTTCAGAACTTGCTTATATACCATGAACTGCAAATTATTTTGATGGCAATTGCATATGTGAGGTTAGTATTTGGCCACATGGTAAGCATGTGGAACACATAGAAATTATACAAATTATAGAAATAGCATAATGCTGTGAATATATTGCAGTACTTATCAGTCAATTTTATACTGATATTTGATTTTATGCATCTGTTTCAATGGAAGCTTATGGGAGCTTTGGAAAAAACCCACCTACGTTCTCAAAAGTTCCACTAAGGATTGGTAATGGCTAACATCAATTTATTTTGCCCTAAACCACAATAGTCCTATATCATTTATCATTTATTCTTTTTGTTTATTGTTGCTTTTGCAGACAGTTTTTTTAATTTGATAATTTTCTGTGCTATAACACTTTTTTTTTTGTTGTTTCTGCAGTTCTGTGCAACTCTTGGAACCACACCTTGCTGCTCCTTTGACAAACTGTTAGAACTGGGTCCTATTTGTAAGTCTTTGCTGCTTCTTTCTAAAATTGCAGATAGCAGTTTAAGCCACACTGAGTCATTTCCAGGACATTGTGCTGTGTCAGTGTTCCAATTCAATAAAACTACTTATAGATGAGACCTTCAATTACAGTTTTATTTCTAATATTAGTCAAGCAGCACAAGTGCATTCTCAAACTCTTAAAAAGCATAGAGGACATTACCTCAAGGGATTTTTCCTGAGGCAGTCATGTTTTGGAACACTGTTAGTTAAAAATTACTGTAAATGCTTCAGTTTGTAACATTTTTCTTCAAGCCCTTCTACCTGCAAGTGCATCTACAGCAATGGTGAATATCAGGAGAAAGTTGAACTCCCATTCTCGTCTGCACCAAGTGTTTTGTTTCTGCGTGGTTGTAACAACTATGAAAAGTAGGGAAATATGCAGAAAAAATCCACGTGTTCTTAATCCTTTCTCTACCTTTCCTGATTTTCTTCATCTTTCAAGAAAATAGAACAAGTGCTAGGGTGTTTAATGCAGTGATTGAGTCATGGACTCATCATAAATATTTCTGTGTGATGGTTTGTTTTTTCAAGCTTTGATCTGCAGCAGGGTTTGGTCAAAAGCCCACGCTTCCTGGCTGATGAAAATGCAAAGTGCACCATATCTATTCAAGTGTACATTTAGAACAGGAAATTTACAGCTATAAGAATTGGAAGCAGCTTCACAGAAACTGCATTTGATGTTCTGGTAATTCATTCAGTGGGGTTTAAAACTTTGGGGCATATGTGGTGGTCACTTGCTCTGTGAAGTTTCTTGCTCTTCAGCACAAGCCCCAGAGACTCAGTTTCTCTCAATCCTCCTTTCCAAACAGGTTTCTAGCAGTCTGCTAAGCAGCTACAGATTATTTTGCTGTTTGAGTTATTCCTATAGATCTGACCTAATAAAACAGTGGCACCAATACTTTTAGGTATAGCAGCCAATCATGTGTATTTCACCTCAGTGATTCCCTGTTTGTGCAGCAGAGATGAGAAGGATTTCACACCACTGAAATCAGAAGTCTCGTGCTAGCTTTTCTGCCTAATTTTCCTCTTAGTATACGTGAACATATTTAAAAATAATTAATCAGTAGAACTTTCAACATGTTTTCAAATAAACCTCAGTTGTGGATTTTGTGAATAATATTGTATTAGCTTTTCACAGACTTTTACGGGAAAGGAAAATGTAGTTCACAAGAATGAAAATTTCAGCTTGAACTTGGTGCCCAAATGCAGATCTCAATGGATATACCTCTGTATGTGGAAATAACCATCAGAATTGTCTGGTGACCAGTGTAAAAATGTTATGTGGGCTTTAGCCATCAACTCATATACCAGAATTGTTACCAAATGCATTAATACTGTGATCTATAATATAATGTGAATACTAAATTACAGAGAATACATGAGCTGCTCATATGACAAAATATTTCTGCAGAAACCATTCAGTCACTAATCAAAACTAGCATTTTCTTAACACTTCAGTGCTTGCTTTTGCAGAAGTATCTCCATCCTTGTAATAAATAGTTTGCTGCTGGCAGTTCAAAAGCATGTGCCTGCATATATATAAATATGTAAAGAATACCGTATAGAGACGTGTTTGTGATTCATGAGTTAGAAGTGGGGAGCACAGCTAATATTCTAGCTCTTCCTGCTAAAGCAGTTTTATTACCATAAAAATTATAGCTAAATATCTAGATATATCTTTTTTTAAAGTGTATTTTTTAATGGTTCTTGAATCAAAATCACATACTATTTTGTGTTACTTAATATTAGTAAGATAAGACATGATGATCCTGTGAGTCCCTTCCAACTCAGTATATTCTATGATTCTATTACTTTGTTCCAGGAGAAGTAGGATGGAAAAATAATATGTTATGTATACATCTTTATATATAAATGAAAACCCAGATGGTAGAAACATTTAATCTCTTAATTTAATTTTAAATTGGGAAAATAATGACATCAAAGAAAAACCTCTCAGGTACTTGGTTTCCTGCAAATTAATGGGGCTTTTTAATCTGCTGTTTAATTTATTTCCCCTTCAATTATTTTTTTAGGTAATAAGGAAAATATCTGGATGCATATTGATGCAGCCTACGCTGGGAGTGCATTCATCTGCCCTGAATTCAGGCATCTTTTAAATGGAGTGGAGGTGAATGGTGTTTTTTCTCTAGAAGTCTGCTAAAACCTTGCTCTTTCATAGAATTTGTTTGTTGTTTATGCATCCAAGCTTAATGGCTCTTCCAGAATCTCCAAGTAAGCTGCTCCTCAAATCCCTGTACATTCTATTACGTTACTTAAGTTTATATAATTTTTACTGGTTTATACTGGAGTATGCAAGTTACCTCACTATGTAGAAGTTTCTCATTCAGAACAGCAAATAGTAGTGAATCAACAAAGTGTCTTGCAAAATAGAAAAGTGGAACTTTTCCCCAAATATCCCAAATGACACATTTATAGAAGCCTAATTCTACCTTACATACACACACAAAATTATTCTAAAAAAAAAAGTTATGTCTTATTATGTCATTATATCTGATGTTTTTCTTGCGCCCTGAAAGTTATCTAGGATATAGCCAGTAGCTCTATCTCAAACAGACAGGGTTTAATAACCAAGAGAGCTAAATGATATATTCCCCCAACAGCACTCCTGTTCCTTTTTCCTCCCCTTGCTGAGCAACTTGGCATTCAGTTGCTTAGATAAGAATACTTCAATTTCCTGCTGCTCCCCTCAGACGGTCAGATAAGTCCTTGTCTTCCACGTCAGTGGAGAAAATATTACTGTTTGGTAAAGCCAGAAGTTTAAACACAGCACTGATAGCTAGTGACTAATGAAGAAGAAGAGGGAAAACCCCCTCACAAATAAAGCATTTCTTTCTGTCTCTTTTTTTATCAGCAAATGAAGCTTGTTGTAATTTCCTGTGTGGGAATATTTTTAAAATTATTGTTATTGGTTTCCAAAGGAAATGAAACAGCGTCCCTTGTCTGGGCCAGCATTTGTCACAGGAGTAAATATTTAACAACCATGAATAAGTTTCCTACCTTACCTAGTACAGGGTGATAGCTAGATAGATATATAGATAGATAGACAGATAATCTTCTCTTATTAGAGTAATTGTTAATTGTTTACAGGTGACAGGGAAGGTTATGAGAAGCAAATGAGAACAGAAGAGTGCTATAACGTGCTACCAGGCCCCTATCTCTCTTTTTTAAGGCTGATGAGTTCTGCCTTTGTTAAAACAGAAAGCATGGATGAAGCCTTTCCCACATGATGTCCATCTTACCTACCTGGGTTTCTTCTGACACCACGCCTAAACATATCTCTAGAAAACTGGCCTGGCACATTATGTGTATAAACATGTATTGCCAGTCCTTATCTTTGGTGGCATTTCTTTTGACTCTAGATGAAAAACTTGATTTCTACTGAAACAAAATACCCTATCAGTAAAAAACAAAACAAAAACCCAAACATTTCCTAGTCAGTTGTAATTTTATGAATGAATGTGAGGTGCAGATTCTGAATTAAATAAATCATTTGTCTTTGTATATTTCGATTTTTTGTTTATATGTTTAATGCTCTTGAAAATAGAAAGCTTATTGGAAAATGTGATATAAACCACCAGTAAACGTTTCTGAATATACAGATTTATTTATTTTTTTAGTTTACAATGAGATATGTACTTTTCTGTAACATATATATTTTAAAAGTATAATTTTTAACAAATGCTCAAAATGTTGATAATACTAATAGCCTAACTGCACACCTAACATGAATTCCATTCCCAAAATGAATGAAGATTTAACTAAAACGGTTACTAACTGAGGTGGTATTAGTATGAACATAATAAAGACTGAATTCAGTAATTAATTTGTAGTTAAAGTGTACAGAGACAATTTGACAGGGTTATATCATTAGCACATGGATCCTTTTCTCTTTCATAATTCTGTTTTTATTTATCCATTTTCAGTTTGCAGATTCTTTTAACTTTAATCCTCACAAATGGCTCCTAGTGAATTTTGACTGCTCTGCTATGTGGTAAGTATTACAGTAAAAGGAAACATTGCAAGGGAAAAAAATCACATTCTAATAGTCTGCCTTTCTACCAGTAAACATTTATTTATATTTCTCTATTGAAATGAGGAGCACGGAATAGCTTCAAGTCTTGTAAATTATTTACAAAATTCCCTTGTTTCAAAAATATGAAATTTAGTTTCAAAAGTGTGAAATTTAGAAATAGGCCTGAGCTCTGCATTATGTTTCAGAAAGAGAGAGAGAAGTCCCAAAAAGTCTGCAGATTCATACCTGCTCCATTTTGGGACTGTTTAAAACATAAAGGAAAACCTTAATTTAGGGATATCTGTGCAACGAACAATATGCTCAACAGAGCTTTTTGTTTTCCATAAAATTTTTTTTTTGTTTAAGCTTCTGTCTTTTAAAAGCCTTTCTAAAAATGTTTGAGATTTGGCTGATGAAAAGCAGCTGATTTCAAAAGGGACTATTTATATAATTTTGTACTGACTTTCAGTTTCCCCAGATGACAGCAGACGACATTTTGATATAAAAAGATGCCAAAATAGAAACCCATAGACATACTTTCAAACAAACCAAAGTATCATAGCAGTAATAATAGCATGGTTTTGTTAAAAACATTCCAAAAGAGATGATCCTATTGTGTCCCAAACTAGATGTTTACCAGCATCACAACTAATGATACTTTTTAGCAAAACAGCTATTCGGTAAATACAGACTATTTATCAAAATAAATTAAAACATTAATTTCAGTGATAATGGAACAAAATTTGCAAAAATGAGAAAAAGGAAGGAAAAACTGAATGTTAAAAAGAAGACTCCAAAACATCATGCAGAGATAGGTCACCTTATTTAAAAGAAGAATAAATGTGGGACAGTAGTCACTGAGTTGCTTTTGGTTAACCTTTGGCTCTTTTAATATCGCAAGCAAAGCTGACTTTTCAGGTGATATATAACATTTTTTATGTAAATATTTTAGCTGATATAGGCATTTCAAATATTCCAAGCCATTGTGGTCTTTTTTTTTCTTTTCCTTAGTGTAAATGGTTTACATTTTGACCCTACTTCATCAGTAGTGGCATCAGTGCGATTAACCCAACACTCCAGTTTATAAGTACCTCATAACATGCTGTGTCTCTGTATTTGGAAATAGGAAAACAATGAAACAAACTCCTAGTTTCTCCCATCTTTTTCTCATTAGTCAAAGACATTGTTAAAAAAAATAGCCACCTGCAAATAAGACAGTACACTATCATTCTCTTCAGTGTTTGTAGAACAATTAGGGGCCAGAGTCTAGTCCCTAAAGTTTAATTTCTCATTAATTCTGCTTTCCCTAAAAACCCTGTGGAACTATGTTAAAAGTGTTTTACATGGCTTTTCAGGAAAACAAGGAGGTATATCCAATCCCACTGTGAGTTCTATCTCGGGTGATTTTAGCTTCTTCCTAGCAAAGCTTAGACTTCAGACTTAGGAAAGTATTTGTCTCCATTTTGTTTCTTGCTGTTTTCTCCGTTTTTGTTTTTTTTGTTTTTTTTTTTTTTAGGGGTTTTGTTTTGTTTTTTAAATAAGGCATTGCATAAAACGTTTGTTTTCATAGATAGGAAGATTCCATTACAAGGAATCTCAAGAGACTTTACAACATCTCCTTACCCAAAGTGAAAGTTCCACAACTACAGCCATACAAACTTCATTTCAGCAAGGCATTTATGTATAGATGTTATTCACTTAATAAAGAATGAAATGTACACTTAAACTCTTTGACTCGAAGCCAGATGCATTGTCCAGCTAACTCTAAGACTCATGTCCAAAATTTACCTCTCTTACCAACTAAAAAGGTGAAATTTGATAAGAAAGGATGAAGGAACATGGTGAGAAAAAATAATTGTGATGGATACATAGTCCTCTTAGGATCCATGGGAAGTATTAAGTATGATGTTGTGGTGATATGGAAAGAGTTCAGTAAATACTGATCATCATTTCAGAATGAAAGTAATCTGAGTTCCTTTGATGGGCAGGCTTCTAAATAACCCAGGCTCTTCAGCACTTTCCCCAGTAAACACATTTTCTTTTGCTGCAATCTGATTAAGATAATTTAGCCCTTAGATCTGTAATGTAATTATTTAACTACTCAGTGCAATATGTGGCACTGATATAATTTTGGATTTGGGGGCAATTTCATTATAAACCTTTTGTAAAATATTCTTAGACTTCTTGATGTACAGAAAAGAGCAGTCAATTTCCTAGAAAAAGAAATTTAATATAGCCATTCCAAGAAGTGAATATTTTTTATATTGAAATGCTAGAGTCGTTTAGAGACTTTGCCCTGAAACTACCAGTCAGTTTTGCCTGACTTGTTCAATTGCTGCTCTGGAATATCATAAAATGGGAAGAAGTGTCTTCATTCAGAGAGTGTGAAAATAATAATCTTTCAGAGTCTTGGTATTCTTGGTTTTTTGTTACTCTTCTCAGGGCTTAAGTGTTAACTTTTAGTTGGGAAGGTGTTTTAGTATTTGGAAGGAAGGTGCTTACAAGAAATGCTTATCTGTAGATCATAAGAGCACAGAATGACTCAGGTTGGAGGGGAACTTAAAGATCATCTAAGTCCAACCAAGTGTATGGTTTCAAAGCCATGTATCTCTCTCTGTTTCAGTCTCTCTAATACTGCTTAGCCTAATAACTGTGTCCTGTAATTCAGCCACCTGCTGCAACAGGTAAAATCAACCTGGGCACACTTTGTGCAGGTACCAGCCTTTTCTCCAGTAGAAGTATCTGGGCATCCATTGCAAACTGACACGTGTACTGATTTACCTTCCTTACCAGTTCTGTCTGGGTTTGAGCAGCACTCTTCTCAGGGGCTGTCTCAGTAGACACACTGGGTTTGGCTCTGAGGTGAGTGCCCACCATTATGGCAGAGACCTACAGCACTCAGCCCTCTGGTGTGGACCTCCTGAGCACTCAGTACTTACGTGAGGTGTGGAACTGCTTGTGGATTGCAGCACCCTTCCTGCATTCCCTGCCTATGTGAACTGCCACACAAACTGCCATGTCACATCCTTCTGCCGTGATCCTTCATTCGGCCAGGTGTATTTGCAAAGAAAGTTAAGAACACCACTCCTGTCACAGAATCACAGAATATGCCAAGTTGGAAGGGACCCACAAGGATCATCGAGTCCAACCCTTAGCCCTGCACAGGACCATCCCAAGAGTCACACCATGTGCCTGAGAGTATCATCTAAATGCTCCCTGACCTCTTTCAGTTTTAGTGCTGTGACCACTTCCCTGGGGAGCCTGTTTCAGGACCCAACCACCTTCTGGGGAAAGAACCTTTTTCTAATATCCAACCTAAACCTCCCCTGAAACAACTTCGGGCCATTCCCTCAGGTGCTGTCACTGGTCAGCAGAGAGAAAAGATCAGCGCCTGCCCCTCCTCTTTCCCTCACAAGGAAGTTCTAGACTGCCATGAGGTCTCCCCTCAGTCTACTCCAGGCTGAACAGTCCAAGTGATCTCAGCCACTCCTCATACGGCTTTCCCTCAAGGCCCTTCACCATCCTTGTTGCCCTCCTTTGGATACTTTCTAGAGCTTAATATCTTTCTTATATTGCGGTGCCCAAATCTGCACACAATATTCAAGGTGAGGCCACAGCAGTGCAGAGCAGAGCAGGAAAATCCCCTCCCTCAACCGGCTGGCGATGCTTTGCCTGATGCCCCCCAGGACATGGTTGGCCCTCCTGGCTGCCAGGGCACTACTGACTCACATTCAACTTGCAATCGACCAGGACCCCCAGGTCCCTTTCCATGGCACTGCTTTCCAGCATCTCATTCCCCAGTCTGCAGGAACATCTGGGGTTGCCCCATCCCAGGTGAAGAATCCAGCACTTTTCCTTGTACTTCATATAGTTGGTGATTGCCCAGTCCTCTGATTTGTTAAGGTCTCTCTGCAGGACCTCAACAGCTCCTTCTGGTTTTGTATCATCTGCAGACTTGTTTAGTATGCCTTCCAGTCTTGTGTCCAAGCCATTTATGAACATGTTGAAGAGCACAGAGCCCAAGATGGAGCCCTGTGGAACCCCGTTAGTGACAGGTTGCCAGTCTGATGTCACCCCATTCACTATTACCCTCTGTGCTTGACCCGTGAGCCAATTGCTCAACTACCACATGATGTGCTTGTTCAGCTCTTTTTCCCGTCTGAGATAGGTGCATCCTGTCAGGTGTCAGTGGACCAGGTGTTGAGTAGATCATCCCGTTTGTGGTCAAAAACTACAGAATTTTTCTGATTACACCAACCTCAGAGCCACTCATTGACCTGATGGATCTGCCTATTCCTATCAATATTATTCCTCGTTACTCGAAGAATTGAAGAAACTGTTCACTACCTGTGGTCCTGATCCCTCTACAATTGTCTCAGGGCCCCGAAATCTCTTTTGATTGCCCTTGGACTTCTCTTTGTTATTTCACTGCTGCCAGTTCAAACAACCAATGTCAGACAGTAATCAGAGGGCCTTACTAAACTGGAGAGTTTGCCAGTAATGTCCCTTGTCCAGACCACACAAGCACTTACTGCAAAGTTTAAATACACAGGGCAAAATCTAGGCATGGTGTACAGAGGTGCAACTCATGTGGTTCGTACACATTAATGTCCAGGCTTTGGATTTATTTTAGTAATCCTTTTAGATAGTTTTTCATGGTTGCCAGATTAAGACCTGTGAAATCTCCTTTTAAAAAAGCAGTGACATCACCAAGGAAGTACGAGATGGCAGCATTTTTATGTCTTCTAAGATAGATGTTCCTGCAGAGTAGTTATCTGTTCCACTGTTAAACAGAGAAGAAATTAAGCTGTCACAAAACAACTAAGTACATTGCTTGTAACTTGTATTAGTTGCATACAGAATGAACTACTGAAACATGAATATATCAAAGTAATCAAACATATCAAATAAACTACAGTAGAACAACTTAAGGTTTGTTAAAAATATTTACCCTAATTGAACCTGCTTTCAGTTAATAGTTCCTTCCTTCTCTCCACAGGACATTTCCAGCACACAAATAAGTTATTAATTGTTTTTACTGAGAGCATTCTGGAAGTTTGTTGCTGTTTTTCATGTGCATAAGCTTACTTATCTTCAGCTCTGTACTTTCCATACCTAAAGGAAAGCACTTTGCTGTTAACCTTGGTACTTCCCTGGCCATTAGTCATAGAGAGGCTTTTTGTTTGTTTGAGTAAGATGTTTTATGACCACAGCCTAGATGTGAATGAGAGCTGGGAGTGTGTACTGTCCTGTGTATTTATAAATACACTGTAAAATATTGGAAATTAGATTTTTCTGTAGAAATTTACAATTTTACATTTAAACATTAAAACTCAGGAAAAAAAAGGTTTGGACTTTGGTCATTTAGAGTATTCCCATGTTGATACAACTTTTGCTTACTTTGTAATATATTTATAGGCCTAATATAATGATGTAGCAGTCTTTCCCTTTTTCGATTTATGGTTTCTTCTTCTTCTGCCTCTGTAAACCCCAACATTTGTGGAGGTGAGTCAGTCTTACACAGCGTGACGCATGAATGAGAAAAATCTTGTTATTAACCATTGGCAAAACATAGCTTATTCTCTCTAAAAGGGACACACTGGCTTTTGAACCTCAGTCCAGTCACACCACCCCCTAGCTGGCAATAGTAAGGTATGCTTCTCAGTGTTACATCGTGCTGTAGCATGTCTGTCAGTAATTGTGTATTGGATCCAGCTAAGGGCAGGGTGGTACCAGAGGGAAATCTGAGTCTGGACCGGGTGGCTTGTCCCTCCCAGTGGCTGCAGCATGGAGACACAGCGGCCAGCATCCACAAAGCCTCCCCGTGGCTGTGCATGGTGTTTAGGAAGCAACAGCTCTTCCCACGCAGCTTTGTACTGCAGTAATTTCAAGACAACTTCTGTTGACTGCAAACATTAACATTGCTTCAGCTAGTCTCACATTCTGGTGTGAGTGTCTATCACCATAAAAAGATCCTCTATGTCTGTTTCTTGTCTGTTTTTAAATATGCAGTCGTGCAGTCATGCTGCCCGTTCCTGCTGAGCTTTACACTTAACTACTTGTAAGTACAGTACTGATATGACTGTGAAAAAGCACTGAAAATGGCACAGGCTGTGCTCAGGAAATATGCCAGTTTAAACACATTCAATTTGACTTCACTTCTGTGGAAATATAATCCCTTAAATTTCTATTCTTAAATTTCTCAATTTGATTTCTTTCTTTTTTTTATACAGGGTGAAAAAAAGATCAGATTTAATAGGTGCCTTTAAATTAGAACCTCTTTACCTGCAGCATCACCATCAGGAGTCTGGTAATTTTACAGTTAAATGAGATTATTATTATTTTGTTTGCACACTGATATTTAATGGAAAAAAAAGAACTTAAGATGAAAACTGAAATTCTTAAAACAACCTAAGTTGTTTAGGAGCCTATTTCCATTTTCTGAGTGCCTGAGGGAGTTAAGCTTATTAAAGTGCGAGTATTTGTTAATGAGATTTTAGTTAGTTAAAAGCAATAGAAGGACAGTAATTTTATAAAGCATTATATTATTTTTTTTGTATTGGGATTTCCCCAGTTCCAGACTTACCACTAATTCTTTATAGGAGTGTTGAGGAAATTCTTTATGATCTTTTGGCTGTCAGATAAACATATGACTGGGTGCTGTGTATCAAGTTCCTTAACCTGCCTTCCCCAACATATCATTCTCCAGAATGGTTTCAGGATCTGATTTGGTTTTAGAGTTGCTAAAGTCTGTGACTTTTTTCTTAGCTATTTGTGTAATCTCTGATTCAAATTTTTCAAAAACCCATGTAAGGAGCAAAAACTCCCAGAAGCCACAAAAAAGATGCTGTCTCTGCTATATTTTTGAGTGATAGCTTTCTGTGGCATTATCCTGTAGCTTTCATGTTCTTACAGTGGCTGTAGAGAAAAGCAGTAAGAGCGGAAAGAGCGGACTGTCTGTCTTGAACAAAATGCTCATGAAAGCTCTTCACAAAATGCTTACAAAGAACTTACGAATCTTAGGCTCTGTACAAAGCTCCTTAATGGATTAGTGCTGCTCCTGCACATACCTCGCAACTGCAGAGTGATATTTGCCATCTTGAAGCCCATTTTTACACATTTGGTTATTAACTGAATAATTGTGAAGAAGGTCACAGCAGTGCCGTGTCAATGTGGTGGAAGTTCTCTCATAACTTTCTCAAGAGGGTGAATCATATGTGGATGCTCTTACCATGTACTCGATCTCCTATTTTTCCTGGAATTGCTGGTGCTGATCTGTGTTCAGAAGTGTATCCTGAGTACTTTTATCTTCTCTCTGTTATGGCTGTGAACTCCTTGACATTTAAATTAATACCATCCAGAATTCCACCATTCACTAAAAAGCCCTAGGAAAAATGGATTCCCATGCCTTAATCCTGAACTGGCATAAATCTTGCATTTTATTCCTTTCATCCATTTCTAAGCAATGCAGGTTCACCCTCTAAAGGCTAGAATTGCTAAGAAAAAAGTATGTACTTTTTTTTGCCTTTTTGAATGAAAAATACAAGTTACAGCAAATACATTTAAGGCACAAGCTTTTACTTTACATACATAAAAATATTTCTCTTCAGAAGAAAAAAAATCCAACCTTAACTAAAGTGAAAATATGTTCTTGTGACAACTGATAGTGCTGATACAAGAGACTTCAGCCTTCCCCAGGTTAAATAACACCAGAAGAAAACCAAGCCTTTCTTAAAAGTAGGTGATATTAGTAAGGCCACCTAGTTGACCTGAAAACTTTATCACCCCAGTTATATAAAAAGTTGTTCAGCCTTCATCTTGCCTTCAGAAGCAGTGAGAGCATGTTATATGATCTGACATAATGATTTCAAAGAGATCAGCTGATTAATAGCAATCTAGTAATGCTAATTTTTTTCTATTCTTTATTCTCATTTAGTATCAATTTTTGCAAAGAGTTGGACAACACTTTTCAAATGCAAATGCCTCTAGTTAAACTTCCAACCCACGCTTATGCCTTGATTAAACATAGTCAAATTTGCTACAAATTTACTACACAAAGGTGCTACACTCCCTATTGATCCCTGTGTGATTTATGAGATGTCAGCACTCCTGGAAGTATGATTTGTCTAATGGAGGGTCTTATTTTCTGAGTATGTCTCAGGTCTGAGAATTCCTATCATGGTTTACAAAGCAAATGAAGTAGTATTTTTGAATTCACTTATCTCTCACTCAAGAATTTAAATGAGCAGAAAAATATCTCTATCTGTGAGCAATTACTCTTAATAACCATATGGCAATTATGCATGTCCCCAAGGGGAAAGTCTTTATTTTGTCATTAATTATAATTTTATGTGATTTGCATCATCACACCAGGAAGATTATACTAGCTTGTCTGACAGCCCAGGATATAGGTCAAATCCTAATGGCAGTGTTAGAAGAATGCAGCTTTATACTTCATTGTGAATACCACATGTGCTCCCACAATGCAATTCCTCCTGCTTAAATACAGATGTAAGACTAAGGCTCATAATCAAGGAATCAAGGACTAAGCATTGATTACATTCTGCTTCACAGCTTGTGAAAGGCGTTGTTGTGCATCATTAGACATAGCCCCTTGCAGGAGCGTAGGATTATTTATCTGTCACCAGTTGCTTTCCTCTCTTTGCTACCAGCCTTTCAGCTTTCAAACAGAAATGGCTGCTACAATGCAGAAGAATATGAATGTTATCAGTTTACCTCATTACTAAGCTGACACAACCACATTCATTTCCTGAAGTCTGGGAACAGGTTAATGATTGTTGGTTGTTGTGTGGGTTTGTTTTCTTTTACCACCTGGAAACCAACACAGTAACAGGTTAAAGAATCCAATGACTGTCTGTTATGGGGAAAGAAGGACCATGTTTTTTCCTATGTTTTGGCTGCATAGATGAAAGAACATCAGCAAGAGAGCTTGTAATACAGGAAATAGTCCTTTTTTTCTGTTTTTTTTTATTATCTCCTAGGAAACATAAAGCCTGAACATTATGTAAATGACATAGACTGGTCAAATTCAGAAGCTACAGTTCTATATAGTACCTTGCAGTTCACAGTTCGAGGAGCACTTAGAATTTTCCCTAGGAATTCAACTACATATATTCCCATGAAGTTTATACTCCACTGCAGAGTAATAAAGCAGAATAAGGAAGCTAAGCAGATGTTTCCTAAAGAAATGCTTTAAATTTTACATCTGTTAAATTTCTGTCACTGACTTACAGCAAGTAACTAACCATGTTACAATTTCCTTTACTATGAAATCAGTTTAATTACCTTATTACAATAAAAGGTAGATGTGTCTTGACACTGCGTGTTTATATAAAGGATAATTAATAATGCCCTCTGTTTGCCTCTCTGGACTGCTTTGTGGCTTGGTCAATCTGTGTTTGTAATGGGCTCTCACTACAACAGATGAAAAGCCATAAAAAGTACAAAATACTATTGTCCAAGCAGGAAGAGGTCAAATTCTGAGTCAGGTTTTCCAGTCACTTATTAGACATGCTGAAGAATTAGCAACAAATATATGTATGAGTATAAAAGGTAGTTAGAAGTGGATTATTTTAAGAAGTGTTACCAGTTCACTAGAGTAAAGGTGATGACATTTCACAGCAGAGAATGAGTGATGAAGTGAGTCTGGGGATTCTGCAAATTGTTTTCTGTACAAGAAGAAAATAAAAATAGTATTTGGTCTGTCATCTCCACAGCATCTGCAGTATAAAAGAAAGGAAAACTGTGTTTCTTCTCTAAAAGGGCTTAATTTGTTAGTGGCATATTCTGAATAGCTGAGGAATGAAGGTTATTACAAGCACCTTAATTTAGCATGCTGCCAACTATCCTACTAGTTATTTAGTGGTCCTGCTGATACTGATGATGCTGAAATTTGTAGTGGATGTAAACTATAGCTAAGACACAGCTTTTTAATTAACATTGGAATGATTGAAGGCTTTGGCTATTGTGATGATGCAACGTGAACATTTTTTCTTTGATTTCTAGGTCTTGTAACAGATTATCGGGTAAGTACAGCATCAGAGTAATAATTAATACTATTACTTGTATAAACTGGTATTTTCATGACTTTTATTTTCCATTACTATCATAAATCTCAAAAATTTATGTTTCTTTCCAAGAACAATGCAGCTTGCTAAATTTTCAACATTCCTCAAACTGAAATTTTAAACTCTGGTTTTTGAAAAACAAATTGTTTAAAGGCAGAAATTGTCTTCATGTGCAATATCTCAAAGTTCAGGCAGTAGAAAGAAATGTCCTAAAGTTGTGGGTTTTTTTTTCTTTAACATAGTGAATATCACAATTTAAAAATAAAATTAAAAGCATATGCATTTTAACCCTTAACCCATGGAAGCATTGTTGCTTTGAAATGGAAAATGGGCCTGCCATTATAGATGCTAGCCCCACAACTGCAAACAAGGCAACGTAACAAGCTTCTAAGATACTTATTTTTCTAAAGCCTTTGAGGAGAATTCAGAATGCACAAATGAAATTTGATTTGCCATGTGACCCTTCCATTCTGACACCGTGGCATTAAAACAGACACAGATATTTCTCTTATTATTTGACCCACCTCTAGGAACTGCCTGTGGCAACGGGGTTCACTTCAAAACTGGTATAGAATGTCGTTTCTGCTGTCACACCACAATGGTGGCTCCTAACACAGGTGCCCTCTCTTCTCGTTGGTTGCAGCACTGGCAAATCCCCCTGGGCAGGAGGTTCCGCTCCCTGAAGCTTTGGTTCGTGCTGAGGATGTACGGGGTCAAGGGGCTGCAGGAGCACATCCGCAAGGTGATTTGCTTTTTTGGGTAACTTGTGGTGGGAAGGCAAAGGAAAGTGAACTGGCCGCCTGCCTGTCTTCTTTCCATGACTTCTGTACACATCAGAAAGCACAGGCAATGGTCTGAGGCAACTCAGTTCAACAGCTGGGGCTGCTTGTTTGCCCCATGTAAGGTCACAATTCCATATCATGGCAGGGTCAAAGCTGTCATCTATTTTATGTTAATCTTTAGGGAAGACAAGTCTAGGAATTTGGAATTTCTACAATATGGGACCATAGTTCCCTCGTGATTAAGCCGGAGCACATTCATGGTTTTATTGTGGAAACACGTGTATATTCATTACTTCTTTATCTTATTAATGTACATGCATTGATAGCATATCATAGATTATGATTAAGGGATATGGTGACTTATTTGGCATGTCTACTGCTGCTGCTGCTTTTTTCCTGTTTAAAATGCATATTTTATTAAAAAAAAGAATGTGTACAATTTACAGTTTGTTAACATTGTTATAAGTACTAAGTTTATTCTTGATGTAAAAAGAAGGGGTTTTTAATCACTAAAAGAAACATCTGGCGCCAGTCTAAATTATATATATACTTCCTCTGTAGCAGTAAAGTCAAATTCAAGCATACCTTTCATCTTTATGAAGTTTAGGGAAACTTCTAGTTAGGGGAGATCCATGACTTGGCTCTAAATATTTACAAAAATATCCATTAGCTAAAGGTCTGGTCTAGCATACCAGTGTCCCTGCAGACATGAATTTAGTACTACATATTGGAGTACTAAGCAGAAGAATGCCTAAAAAAGACTTTTTCTGCTCTTGTAAAATCATTGTGTGGGGAAGTCTCTTTTGATTTGGAAAGGTTCTGGGATGGAGGGTACTCTCTTATTTTAATCACATTATAATTTTCAACGGACTTTTCAAATATCAAAATTAGATTTTTATTGTTAATGAGGCTTTCAGAAATAAATTTTGGCAGCTATGGAATCCTGATGTACAGTCATCCTTATGTCAATCTGATATGTATCCTCCTGATGAAAAATTGATATGAGGTTTGTTATCACTTTATTTTTCTATCATTACCATTCCCTCTCAGGTTAGATTCTGAAGACTGGGATTCTCTCTCAGGTTAGATTTCTGAAGACTGCAATTCTTTCAGTATGTTACCAAGTTTTTAAGTAGGGCTAAATCTCTCAGTGGGAAAATGGGCTTGGAAGCCTCATATCAATTGCATGGCCTTCTGGTTTCCACAGGTCAGTATTTACATTCAACAAATTCCCTCTTTCCCTGTCTCTCAGATATTTCTCTGACTGTCCAGCCATATAATCACAGCTGAAGACCAAGTTTTGATATTTGAACAATACAGTTCAGGAAGGTTAAGCAAATCAATCTTTTCTTAAAAATATTAACTCCAAAATAAAACCTTATTTGTGAAGGTAATTTAGATAACTAGATTTCCAAGGGCTTGTAGAACTAAGTGTGTATGTTTTATATTTCATTAAGGACTACATTGTTCTCCAGTGTAGATATAAAAATAAGTTATGATAATTAAGTGCAGAATTTGACTTACTGTATACTTCTTCAAACTGGAACCATTAGTTTCTCCTCACCCCCTCCTCATTCCGCCCAATGAATGCTGGTTTGATTCAGTGGGATCCAGAGCATCTTTTTTTAAAAAAAACCAGTAATTTCTATCTCGAGCAAGCCTCTTTGAACTTAAATTTCAATAAATTATTGCATTTCATTTGCTCCCTGCTCTAACAGAATTTAAGATATCTCTTGTGATTTTTCAGACATGATGGTAAAGTTATATCAGTAGCTGCAAAATAAAAATTAGAAATGTGTTTCATATCTTGCACATTTTACTCTCAGGAATTATCATGAGCTCCAGATACACTGTGATGGCTTTACTTTGGATAGAGTAGTAATGAAGTATGTAAACCAGTCTGACACTGGTTTATATTTTCAAACCCATATATAAATTTCCAAATAAAAAGTAAAGGCCAGTGCCTGGCCTTGAAAAATTGCTTTCTTTTAAACATGTTGTAGCTGACCTTTTAAAAATCCCAACATAAATGCTGTGATCACCTAGGGGAAAAAAAAAAAGGACACTTGAGTTCCTAAGTTGTGGAAGACTGTGGGAAGATCTATGCAGTGTTTATAGATTTCTAGTTAGGCTTCTTTTGCGCAGCCAGGTAATACTTACAAAGTGATTTGAGATTTCAAATAGTGATGAGCTTCAGACATGATATAGAGGGAAAAAGCACTTGTATGTCCTTAAGAAGCCACCGTATTCGTTGTGTAATTAGCAAGTTTCTATATGGAAAACCAAAGACATCTGCAACAGTCTCTTCATAACCTTTTTGTTTCCTGGATCACAAAAGTTATTTGTCTCTTTCTGTCTTATTTTCTTCCCCTCTTTTATTAGTATGTTTTAAGAAAAAGATGTTTGTTATCTTTGCAGCCTTAAGGTTTACATCAGATGACTCAATAACCACTGCAACCTGGCATTTGCTTGAGGATGGCATTTAGGAACCAAAATATTCCTGGGACATGAGAATGTGTGACTTGGATTTAGATACAGTAATTTTTTTGTTTTCCAAACATTTGTTATGCACTCCTCTCGCACACAGCATGTAATATTAACCTATTGCAAAGTATAGGTTTCAAAGCAGTGATAAAGTGGAGGGCAGTCATCTCTGAAGGATGTGGGGAGAGACAAATACAAATTTTGGAGGTAAGTCTCAAAGCCACAGAGAAGATGTACAAACAGGGTGAAACCAACAACAATAATGGTTTTCTGGACTGATTCCAACCACTCCCAAGTCAGTATAAATGTAAAACTCAAATGGCCCATTTGTAAATGTCCCATTTGCAAACTGCTTGACCATGTATTACTCCTTTGTTGGTTTAAGTCCTCTCCAAGAGCTCAGAAGTAATCTGAGAAATTTAGGAGTTAGCGTGCTTTTGCATGCAACCTCTATGAACATTATGACTCAGCTGAATTCTCCTTAGGACCAGAAGTCAGCAGATTACACATGCTTCTTTCTTCACCAAGGATAATGAATTCCATTAAAAATTAACAGCAGAGTCCAAGAAACTGGAACTGTAAAGAACAGCAGTGCTAGACATAGCATTTCAACAGGGGAGTGGCACAGTTCAAGTGGCTATTGAGAAGACTCTTTTGACAGCACTTTCCTTCAGAGTGTAGTGGGATGCAAGCTAAGGCAGGCAAAGAGGTGAAATCTGTAGGAGGAAAAGTATGAAGTGATCACGACTAGGCTGGTGTGCTCATTTGCATGTACACAGTAGTGTACCTTATGCTTCAGAGAAGCTCCCTGCAATTAAAAACTTTTTTGGCTCTTGAAGGCTTTGCCCAAAAATTAAAATTCAGTTTAAACATTTCAGTGGAGAAGGATTCATATTTATATTCACAAATACACATACAGAAATACAGATTTTTAAAATAGGAACCACAGCTTAATGCCTCACAAGTTTTCTGCTCCTATTATTGATTATGTAAGACATTTCCCTTAATCGTAAATAACCAAATTCATTAGATCTCTCTGTTGTTTCCATTCTCACTGAAGAAGAGCAAGGGTTATTTACCTGAGATAATAGTGACACATAAAAATTCCTTACAAGTTTATTTTCTTCAATCAGGTAACTTTCACTGTGAAGACCAGGGCTGATATTCTGTTCCTGTATAGCAAGACATTTCAGGACACTAACACTGTCCATGTGATTCCACTTTGAGAACCCACGTGCTGAAGGGATTGTCCAAATCTCTAAATCATAGAATCATAGAATCATAGAATCATAGAATGGCTTGGCTTGGGAGCAACCTTAAAGATCATCTAGCTCCAACTCCCCTGCCATGGGCAGGGACACCATCCACTAGACCAGTTTGCTCAGATGATACTGCTAGAAACAGTACATGAGTTGGTTTGTGTACATCCACTTTTTTTCTCAAGTACATGACAGTGTTAAATAAAATAAATTTGAAAGATTAAATAATATTTGAATGCCAGCTTTAAGTTAATGGTGCTAGGGACACAGCCTGACACAGATGTCAAAATCAGAAGCACTTGAAGGGTTAAAATATCCAGGCTTGGTATGTACACACTCAGCAGAAAATTGAGAACAGCCTATCAGTTTTTTACCTCTTCTTCCCTCCTATCCTTAGTTGCAGTGCCTGCAGTTCTACAAACAGGACTTTATTTTCACAGTGTTGTCTTGAAAAGTTGAAGCACTAAAGCCACGTGTCCTCCTGAGAGTTATTGCAGTGCTCATGTTCAGTGTGGGTGCAGCTTTTGGGCTCACAGAGGAAGGTGTGATACCTAAAAGACCTTTGGTTTTATAGAGTTTGAACTTCCAGGCTTAATAATATTTAACTTTACTGTTGTGGCAATCTTGGTAAGAGCAATTCAGGACAATAGCTAATAGTTCAAAGGTGCAGGGCCTTGAGTAACTGTATTTAAGCAAAGCTTTCCATGGTAAATCATCACTTTCTCTACTTCTACTTCTGTAAAATCTAAAACTCTTGGTGCCCCCCAGTGTCTTTACCAATTATTGCTACTTTTTCAGACTAGCCATGAATAAAAGTACTTGCATCCCGACATGAATCCAAAATACTTTTTCAGTTTTGTTTTGTGACTTACTGAATATTTTCTATTTTCCCTTGCTTTTATTTCTTTCAAATCCCTGAAAAATCCTTTAGTGCGAAAAGTGGGCATAAATACCAGCTATTGAATGTACAGGATGGGTCCAGAGCTTTCTTGTACAAACTTCTCGCAGTAAGCCAAATCTTAAATTTTTATTTTATTCAGTTCTTACCCAGATAAATTTTGATGAAACACAGTTGATTACGTTCAGCTGAACAGTTATGAAATTCTCATCTCATTGAACATGATCTGTTTTATGGCTTTGATTTCCAAGACATAGTATATGCAGTGTGGAATTTTGCAGAGTCTTTTTTTAACATACTTGGTTAAAGCTATATAACATGAGGATAGGAGGAGACAGTGAAAGACCATTACAACGCAGATGCCTATTTAACATATGTTTTCCATGCATTTATGCATACAAGTATCTATATGTATACAGATACTTCTTGTTGGTTTTCATAGCTGTAAACTTATGCTCTTCATATTAGCAGAACATTCAAATGCCCTGAAAAGGACTGGGCATTTTATTGGTCTCATTCCTGGCTCAAAGAGCTTTTAGGCTAATTTTAGAGGGAGATGTTAAATGAATGTAACAAACAGCAGAGAGGAAGTGGTAACAACAGGAAGATTGGCTGGTTGTGTAGGGTACCAGTATGCCCAGTGTGAAGGTTTTGAAGCAATATTTTGATTCAATATAAACTCTGTTTTTCTATTTGAAGAAATAAAAAACCATCAGAAAGCTATGATTAAGATTGCAAAATGTGTTGGTTTCTTTTTCTTTTTTCTTTTCTGTAATTTCTGTTTTGCTTTATTCTTGTCCTTTTGGAAGAAGTTCCTGTGAGATGAAACATTCCACATTTAACCCTGGCCCAAAGTGAAATATTTCATTTTGGTTTGATATCTGTCCTTGAAATTGCAAAATGTCAAAGTGCAAAAGCAAGAAAAGACATGGGCTTAGTTGTTTATTTTTGTAAATTTTTTTGCAATAATAAATATATCAAAGCTAAAGAACCTTTTAACATATTGTTTAGATGTTTCAGATAAGTTGGTGTAGACAGGCTATTGCATGAAGACAACTGTTATTTTAATAGCTGGTTGCTGTTGCTGTCTTTTTTTTTTTTTTTTTTTTTAGGGTAGTGAGGACTAAGCTGGTATTATAGCCAGTGACAGGGGAACTGGATAGGTACTGCAGGTACCTGATGAGGATATAGGTTCTTTTCTCTCAAGTAGTTTTGAATTCATTTTCTGTTTGGAAAAAAGCAAAGCCAATATGATATGAGCAAGTATCACTGACTGATGTTCAGAATTCTCAGCTGGTTGGTACCATGCCTGTTGATATTTTTCCTATTTATTTGACTTTGGAAGAGCACTGGTTTCCTATGCTTCAAAATACTTCCTCTGGCTTGGTGCCCAATGTCATTCTTTTTCCCCCAGTAACTTATCAACAGGTTTACTGAGATTTGCTATTAATTTTCTTGATTATACCGCCATCACCTTTCTTTTCAACTGAAGCTGAGCACCCAGGTCAGAAGACTGAGCAAGTTCTCCCCTTCTTCACAGATATCCTTTAAGTTAACTATTCTAAAAAGTGTATCTTTCCAGCTTAATTTGCACTGGAACTGTGACAATTTTTTCTCTCTGTATCTGTGCGTTTCCCCTTTCCCCTCTAAAGTCTTTTGGACTCTAGCCATTCCCAGCCCAAACTGACAGTGGTAGAAAACCTAAAGGAGAATTATTAAAATTATTTACTATGAATATGGTATCATACGAAATTGTGCTGAAATGTCTCATTAAGAAATAGGCTAGTACTGCCTAAGATAGTCTGAGCTAATGATATAGTAATGGCTCAGTATGGTCTCTGGAAGTCATAAATGGGATGTAACTTAACATAAACAGATGGTGATATGCGAATATTATCACATATCAGAAGAAGGAACAGAGAAAAGGAATGGAAAATACTTTAGCAAACCTTTTCTCTTGATGAATCAAATTTATACAACATAGATACCTTCTTTCTCTTCTCAGCACGTCAGGTTGTCACATCAATTTGAACACTTAGTCCTTCAGGATGGAAGATTTGAGATCTGTGCTGAGGTTGTCTTGGGACTAGTCTGTTTTCGGCTGAAGGTAAGACCTATTTCTTCTGTCATGTTTTGTAGCAACACCATAACATGCAATTGAATATAATCTTTGTAATTCATATACTTGATTATTTTTTAAGGAAAGCAAAGGGAGTTCATGTAGAACAAAGCAGATTAAAAGCTTAAGACAATTTTGTTAAAACATGGAAAATTGAAGCAAGATATGTATAAGAACAGGTTACATGGGAGGCCACCTTCCCAAGTGCCCTTGGCCCTGGTCTGCTTTTTATTGCTGAACATGATCCTTTTGCCCCGCTTGGCCTTTTATACTCCAGAATCTCTCAAAGTACCAAGTTCATTGATGTGGAGACCTTGCCTGACAGAAACTAGAAAAATCTCACTCTGTATTCAAAGCATAAAAGCTGCAGTAACTGGGAGGGCTCATTGTTTAATCAGACACTAGAAGGGGATCAGTGTCTTATTTTAGGTAATGAACTCATTTCATATAGGAGCTTGCAACTAAAGCCTTTGTAAAGGACTGGATTGGGACACTGAATCTGACTACCAAGCAACAATAATAACAGCACTAGTGTTTTCTAGTTCACATGATACCTAAATTAGCTTTTAGCTTTTCTGAAGCAAGCACATTTTGGCTCCTTCTGGGTAGTGTAGTATTACTATTTGTCACAAATTCTTTCACCAGTCATTCAGTTGCCCCAGTTACCCGAGTTTGATGCAACTGGCTGAAGAAGCTAGCAAATCTTTAACAATGAAGTAATGGTGAATTCATCTGGAATTGGAAAATTGTTTGTTTTGAATTTATATTGTTCAAAATAAAAGGAAAAAAAGAACTGTCCCTACAGGATGAACAGACTACAGAATGTGGAGTTTTTCAGTAAATGGAAACATGAATATAATCTCTTTCTTAACAAGAATTTTAGAAGATTTTGAGGAATAGGTTCTGTGGCTTTTATTGTGCAATAACAAGATGTTGGTTGCAGTCTGCTCTCTCACATGGAACAAGCAAACACTAGTTTTGCAGATCCAGAGACAGCTGTTAGTCAGTGCTCTACATTTACTTTAAAGGAACAGTCCTGGTGAAATAGAGCATAGCAACACAGGAATTGTCACTTTTGATCAGACGAGTAGCTCATCTACATCTGTTCTCCTGTCCCTGATGAGGAAGAAATTACATCTACAGGGAAAGACAATTTTCAGTAGGAGGTAAATATTGAACCCCTAGCTAAGAAGGTTTTGGAAAAATTGTAGAATAAAGGCCTGATTCTACTGAAAACCAGTGTTGAAAGAGCAGTGTTTTCATTGCTTGCCTAACTGGTCGAGAAAAAGAAAACAAAACTAACAAGCTTTTAAATAAAGATGTTTTTATGGCTATTTTTGCACCTTTATTTCCTTTTTTATATCACTCCTTCAAAAATCTTCCTGTGATTTTTATAATTCTTATTAAAATGCATTTTAGAAGCAGAATATTTGTAACTTTTATGTAATTACAGTAGGACTATGGGTCAGGAGACTTGAACTATATAATACTGCATAGCTGTAAAATTATGAAATATTTTTTCTTCATTCTTTTGTTCTTGAGAAACCCTTTTTTATATATTTTTGCCTAGCTGTAACTTTCAATTTTTTGCTTTTCACACTGTGGGGCAAATGGACTCATTACCTATGACTTTCATATTATAATTATTTCATCAAATGTATCATGCCAAAGGGTTAGTTTTTGGCCTCCTTGTCATGACTGCAAATGAATACAAGTCAAGCTAGTAATTTCTCCAAGGGAGTGAGACTGCTGTCTTATTGAAGCTCACAGACTCAATCAAAGCTGGCTTCTCAAAGCTCTGGGAGAGGATTAGTCACTACTAACTTCAATTTGACGTGACACTTGAGTGTCACAGCAGCCCTAAGGTGGAGCTGTGAGAGTAGAACAGAAGAAAGATATACATGAATCTTTCTCCTTCCTCCCCTCACACCTGCCAGCTTAACATCGTGTAACTGCTGGTATTGCCTAAAAGTCAGTGCTGTGCATTTCATATTAAAGGCAAGGATTGTAATTTCAATAATGTATTACCTTTGGTAAGAAAGCAGGACATCATTGTCAACAGTGACTGACCTGTAATAAATGGGGACTTGCAAAACACCGAAGTTGTTCCATTTGCTTAGTTAGGAGCATTCCAGTTGCATAAATATCTCGTAGAAGAGTAAGGCTAAGCCATGAATTTCAGGATGACATACAAAATTCCAAAGAACTTGTGCTAAGTCAGAACAAGGTTTTGACTTCAGTCCAACTCTATCTCTTAATATGATCCAAAACCATGAAAATTATACATTTATCCTTACTGCCAATGGGAAACCGTCTGCCTTATGCTTTGGTTTTACATGGAAAAGGCTAAGCAGGAGTCACAACTGCCCAGATTTGAGAGGTGTTTTCTGATACAGATGTTTTCAAGAAGACCTATGCTGCTATAGTGACAAAATTGCTGCTGAACAGATGGATTGGTCCATTTGTGCTCTTTTACCTCAGTGTTCAGTAAAGAACACTGCACGAAAAGCGCAGATGCTCCCAGAATCTCTTGCAATTCCATTACTTCAAATGTAATAGAAAGAGTAAAGGTTGTGCAATAGCTAAGATACTTCCCCAAAGAATAAAATTATAGCACTCCAGATCAACCTGATATATCCTACACTATTATAGCAAACTGTCCAGCAAAGCTGGAGCCATCTCTCAGTCTACTGATAAAAAAAGTAGACAGACAGGTTCCTTTAATTTGGCTAACAAAGACTGTCAAAGATATGTGGCTAGCACTTCACCCTGTGATGTTAAATCTGACAAAAATCCCAAGATTTTGGGGATGTCTTCATTCATTCTTTTCATTTTAAGTGATTTACTACTGTTTTTGAAAATCTGATGACATCTTTTGTTTTATTTCCAAATGCTGATGGACATGATCAGGAAAACCATTGATTCAACATTAGCTGGACCTGTAAAAGAACCAGTAGTCCTCACCTTCACTGTTTGTGCATAAGGAAAATTAAGTACATTAGAAGGAGATGAAATTCAATAGTGCATGCACGTAGAGTCTTTCTGACCTTCTCCAAGACATTTAACATTTATAACTTTGTTTCTTGAATGCAGAAGACTATTTACTTCCAGTGTGTGGGTCAGTTTACCACATTTCTAAATTCCTTCACACAAAAAAAACGCTCTGTAGGATTCTGTGGTGGACACTTCCTATAGAATTTCAGGCAAATGCCTTTTTAGGGCTTCCACTGATTGTACGAAACTTATTTATGCCAGGGACACATTACCTTAACAATTTCTCAATTAAGGGTAAGATTTCCATATTCAAATTCAAAAGACTCTTACAGCAGCCATGCTTAAGGGAAGACTGAAAAGTTTGTTTTACCAAAGTTAGTATAGCTCATTGCAAAACTTCCTCCCATGTTTGTTTGATTCGATCCAAGAAGAGTGTAATGACATGGATACAATAATGAATGCTTTTACATAGCACATGACCTTAGGTCGCAAAAAAGCACTCAGCTATAACAAATGCCCCAGTGTGAACACTGCTTCTAAACCCAAGGTAATCCATAAATCTCTTTGTAACTCAAAAATTATCTCTTACACTGTCATCTTTTTGTAATGCTTTGATAGCAAAGCACTGAGAGAAGAGAAAATGGCTGTTTGTTACTGGTGGTACTTGGGCTTGGCTGCTTGGTAGGATTTACATATTCCAGACTTGCTTCTGAAATTCACCCGCATATTTATTGAATTACAATGATTTCAGGGCTCAAATAAACTAAACGAGGCACTTCTTAAAAGCATTAATGAGGCCAAGAAGATTCATCTGGTCCCATGCCATCTGCGAGAGAAGTTTGTGCTACGTTTTGCTATTTGTTCCCGCACAGTGGAATCCACCCACATCAAGTTTGCCTGGCAGCACATCTCACAGCTGGCAACTGATCTTCTGAAAACATGGGAGCAAAACCACCAACAGGAGTAACAGCAGTGAAGTACAAGTGGAGATGAGGTAATTAACTGGCTTTCTCTGTGTTGCCAAGTTTTATTTTAGGGGCAGGTGGGAAAGTAAAATTAAGAAGGAAAAAGATACAAAAACTGTTGTTACATAGCCCAGCTGCAGTAGCAAAATCCTTGCCAGCAAGTTGCGTTGTAATCTTTATTTACTGTAGTTTCATCTTGCCTGTTTCCAGGATGCCCATAGCCAAGGAGACTCGAGCTGTCATTTCTTACCAGTTTGTAATCAAGAGCATTTATTCAACCAGGCAATGGAAACAGAAGGGTTAGTGCTCCCTCTGTTGTCCCCACACTCCTCTAGCACACCCACTCCTTCCTTCACAGATGAAACTGAGAGGTCTTATAACCAATGAATTTAACGTTACTATGGCTTCAGAAGAAATCCGGGTTGGGGAAGTTCAGTAACCTGTTTGGGTCCTATCTAAATAGGCACGCACAGATGTCATTGTTAGAATTTGGGGCACTGTCATGTCATGACACATTGCAGTAATTTTGTAAATGAACAAAGGACAAAGGACTTCAAGACTTCCTTCATTGCATAGCCACATTGAGGAGAGTGACCACTAAGTGAACACTAACCATCCTTCTGGCAGGTTCTCTACTTTCCCCTAAAGGGTTTGGTTTTAAAACAGCCATTTTGTCAAATATCAGCAAAGAGGTTATGCCCGCTTTTGGTCTCCACTTTGATCATTCATAATGAGGCCTCTTAAAAACTCCCGATGAAGAATTTTGTCAAAAGCCGTATGCTACCTGGCATTCTGTATTTTTAACCAGGTTACTATAAGCAGTGATTACTTGAAAATAATCTGTAAGATATGTTCTGTGAAATTAAGTTATGACTACTTTTTATGGCTACTGTTCTGCTTAGTTCATTATGTAATAAATCTTTGAGAAAATGTGCTAAGAAATGTGATGGCAAAAAATGTTACTTTTCATTTCTCAAATTAGCTAACAAACGAGTAAAAAAATGACAATAAAAATAGAAATTAAGAGAACTAACACTCAAAATATGCAGTGGTTCCCCCTTCAGTGGTTTTCATCCATTAAATTGATGTGTGGAATATGAAAATACTGGAAAACAACTTTCAGAAAGTCAAATCACGTGTACTTGACACAAACCATTGATATGTCATCCTGTTGAAGGCAGGTACAGTAAGGACGTAAAATGAAAGTCAGAGGTAAAATGGAAGTCAGAACAATATTTGACTTTAAGAAGTACTTTTGCTGTTTTTAAAACATGGATTCCAAACAGTTATTTCTATGCAAATAAAAACAACCTACTTAGCTACTCCAAGAAAAATAATATGTAGGATTAATTTCTACATTTGCATTTTAATCTTCCTTTTACTGCTCATATTAACATCTAAAACATCTTGAACAACTTGCACAATTATTCAGCTTTCTTCCTCCATGCCTTGCGAATATACTTCCTACGGCTGGGAAGTCGCAAGTACACCATGAAACATGGAATGGGACAGTTAATTTGGCACATGGTCTGCTCCTACCCACTGTCTTTCCAGAAGGGATTGACTAAGTTGAACATGGACTGTGTGGATTTTTCTGTTGATTCTTAATCTCTCACATCTGAGGTCCAAACTAGGAAGGACTACTATTTCTTTAAGGAATTGATTTCCCAGAATGGGATGACAAATCAATCTAGCAAAACCCTGTAATATTTGAGGTGGTGACTCGGCCATTTCACAAGACACTCCTCTCATCTACAGTATCAGAAATTTTGATAGCATCATTCTATTTAGCAGAACCAATATGAAATTAAGCTTTTCTGTAGTAGCACAATGCAATAGACTGGCAAACTGAAGAGAGTGGAAAATGCTGGCAGTTGTTTCCTGCCACGGCCCGAGGGGAATAGGGAATAGGGACGCGGCACTGCAATAAGGGTTCGGACACAGAAGAGGGTTCGGGAAGCAATGCCACTTTACTCAGGGAGAGCAGGGACTTAAATAGGGTAGGTCTGAGGGTAGGATTCAGAACTGGGGAGGAGCATGAGACTGACAACTCAGGGTGAGACAGGACTGGGAGACAGGGAAAAGGTAGGTGGAACTCTTGAGTCTCTAGGGGAAAGGGCCAATGGTAGCTCTCTCTGCTCTGCAGCAAACTGTAGCCAATCAGTCACAGAGGAGCGGGAAAGCAGGGGAGAACAGGGTGGTAAACAAGTTTTGGCGGGAAAATGTGAGGGAGAAAGGGGAACAATACGGGGGTACATTAAAACTTCATAAAAATCCAACAGTGAACTGGGATATAACTGTCAGTCCAGTAGGTGGAAGGTCCATTCAATTGCCATAAATGTCTCTGTAAGCCTTATATCTCTCCCAGTCAGATTTTTCGTCCTCCACAGTTTCCTTTCTCTGTTAGTCTTTTTTAAAACAACATTCCTTCATTGTCATGACCTGGAAAACAATGTTCATCCATAGCACATATGGTCCACACTGATACAATTTTACAACTTTTACATTATGAAAACTCTAAAACCTTGGAGCCAGAGAGGAATTACACCTTGTCTATGAGACAGACCAGTATTTTGCATGTGAAATATATAACCAGGTCTGTCCAGGGATTAAAAAAAAAAAAAATCAGATTTGGATCAAAGCTATCATAGAGTAAATCCAGGATAATTCCACTGAAATGAAATGGAGTTGCTTTGGTGTTAAGTGACTGTAATTGAGATTAAAATGTGACTATTAAGTATTGGAAAAGAAAGGCATAAGGTAAGGCAACATTAAATTAAACTTAAGAAGATTTTGGTGGAAATCCTCTCCATGGAAACCAGAGCAGAGGTGGGTGATGCACACCTGTGTGAGCCTCAAACTGCTGTAAAACTGGGATGCAGGCAGGCTGCACGTCCAAACTCAGGAGGAGTAAAATGTTCCCAACAGCCCAGAAATTAGATATAGATCCCTCTAGACATTTGTGGGAAAATCCTGCCAAAATCAACATTCAGTTAAGCATTTTTCAGTATATGGGCATCAGTTTTAGAAAAGGCTGTTGTCTAGATACCAAAACTCCTGTTGGCAAAGAATTTAGGATAAAGGCTAATTTAAAATATAAATCCAGTAAAAGTTAATTTATTTAATAGAAGTGACATGGGATAATTCCTTTGTAAACTATTAATGTTAGATCATCTGAAAAGGAAATCTGGGCTATGTAATCAACTCAAGAACAAGTGTTGAAAAGAACATTTTGAAAGAAGAACATAACTGCTGTTTCTGTTCTGTAACTTTGCAACATATCTGTAAGTGAGAAACACTGTATTTATGAATAGTTGGTATGTTAACCTGCATTTATGGTGCCTTTTGTGCAAAAGCTAATACAGTCTGTGCCAATTAATACTGTTCGATATTAAAAACAATTACAAAATCTCAGAATTGTACTTTAGTAGAATACCCACAAGGACAACTGCGGCTATCAGAGAAGGGAGAAAAAAATCTAACTTTTCAGTAACCACAATTTATTTTTTTTAAAAGTAGCAGAGTACTAGTACAGTATTTACATTCTTAATGACAGATTATATTTTATTACTGATGGTGAAATATTGAAAAGATATGTATTTATGAAAGTGTTGGTAATATATTATACTCTGAACTGCATTATAAATATTAAATTTCTAATTTACTCTTGCCTTTACATATAAGATTCTGCTCATGGTTGTTGTTTTGTTGTTGTTATTGTTTCCTGTAAGGATAACATATGTGATGAGTAGTACTCACACTGCAGTTGCCTTACAGTAGTAGTCTGAACCTTGAGAGGTATAAACTTCAATTGCTCAAAGACAGAATGAGAAATAAAACTGAGAACTCTGATGACCCGGGTGGTTGGTGGGGGCAGATTAATTAACCATCAATAGATAATATCTACGTAGCATATGTAGAGTTTGTGTGACTTAAATGGAAAAACAATCAAATGCTTAATGCTCTAATTGTAATTTGTGAGCTGTTGACTTCCTTTAAAATCTGTGTCCAAACCATGCTGAACAGACATGTATTTTTTAATTGGCAACATTAATAAATAGAAACAAATCTATGATTATGGTCTGTCTTTGTTCTTAAACAAGCTTTTCCCATCTTATTCACGCCAGATGTGCTGTAAGAGGTCCAACTTTCCCACTAATATCAAGTCAGTGCCCTGATTTTCACCATCGATCACTTTTTCTCAATGTGTCCTTCAAATGAATTACTTTGCAAATGGGAGTTTGCAAACTTTCCTGAGGTTAGTTCCTCCTCAGCAACATGCATCTGAAAAATACATGGATATAACCAGGGCCGTGTCGTTCCTTCTGTAAAGTTCTGCACAGTCCTGCAGCTGGATCTGACACTGGAACCAGCTGCCCAGCTTTGGCTCTGATTTGCAGCTCCGGAGCCATCAGGTAGGACAGGGAAGGGGCCCATGTCATTAGTCCTGCCTATGTCCCCAGGGGCAGCTTGCAGCTGCAGGCTCCTTCGCTCCCTGCCCATGTGCAACCCAAGGGAAATTGGGGAAGCATGCCTTGGGAAAAAATTGATGGCAGCAGTGTCACAAACTCTAAATGTTGGGTTTAGAGCCCAATTAGGTTAGCCCAGTTGGGTCTGAGATGATAGCTCGCATACTAGCCCAGACAGTTTAATATGCTGTCTGCACCAATGGTGTAAAACAAGCTTAATGTATAACAAAAACCTGACAGTAACTGCTAGAAATGTTTCTCATGGGAAATTAAATGTCCACCCACACACAAGTGTCTATGTTAATACCGGAGGTGTAACTGCAGCTTAGTGTGCTAATTTGCATCTAGTTTGATGTGCTAATTTGGATGTGGGTTGGTGTGATCCAGCTAGGGACTCCACAATCAGATTCAGCACATGGCATACATCCACCTGGGCCACCATCTTTTGCCCTGCAAGGCATTGTGCCATTCATCGTGTCCCTCTGCCACAAAGTCCAGTTACTGCTGCTCAGACCTTCAGCAGAGTTGTTTTCCCAAAAAGGTCTGTCCAGCAGCTGTTGTTTCCAGGAGTGTTCGACAGCACCACTTTCTGACACTGCTGTGGTGGCCGTGCAACAGTGCCACAGGAGTGGAGATGGAACAGGTGGCTGTGGAGGTTGAGTGCTGCGTGTGAGGAAGGGTCAGGTGCCCATTGCAGACACCCAAGTCACGACATGGGCCAGGGCTTTGTCTGGGACCATCTTCCCTGGAACTTGCCTCTCGTGGAGCTTGTCCTGCTCAGAGTGAGTTTGCCAAGGACTGAGCCCAGGACCCAACTGCATGGACACCTCTGAGGAGAGCGAAGGGTACCCAGGGGGTCTTCTTACTGGGAGGAGAGGAAGGAACACTGGGTAACTGGAGCGTGTGGATGGGAGGTTGCCACCCTGCCATTTTGAGCAGCCAGAGTCGAGTTTGGCACAGAAAGAGCCGCAGCAATTCTGCTCCTTTGGTCACCGAACTGTGCATGAAGGCAAGGGCCTCCTCTGCCTCGCAGGAACAGTGCATCTCCGTGTTGCCATTTCCCACTGCTACTGAAAATGGGCTGGACAGGCAATAAACGTGACATTCTCCAGCCTCTCCCTTTTAGGCCGCTCTAACTTCCAGCCGAGGAACCAAGCCTTCCTTTATAAGGAAAGTTTTTGCGAGGCGCGTGGCAAGGGCTGGCAGGCCGCCAAAGCCGCCCTGGGCAAGCCACGGCAGCCGGAACACCGACTGGCACACGCCTGCCAGGACGAGACGGGCGCGCCCCGGCCCGCCAGCGGAGGATTTAGTGGGGAGGGCGCGTGTGGGACGGGGAGAGCGACGGGAAGAAGCTGGGCGGCGGACACGGGACACACGCGCGCGCATCCGCCCGCGCTGAAGGCGGGGCGAGCGCGGCCCCGCCCCCAAGGCACGGACCCCGCGCCCATTGGAGGGCGCGCGCTTCCGGCGCAGCCAATGGGGACCGCCCGCCCGCCCCGCCGCGCGCCTTCCCACCCAGCGCCTCGGCGAGCCCGTTGACGTCACGAACCGAGCCCGCCCCTCTCCCCCTCGCCCTCCCTTCCGCTCTCTGATTGGCTGCGTCTCGCGGAGCCCTGTTACTGGATTGGCGGGTGGGACGGGGGCGGGGCTGGAAACAGCGCGAGCGCGCGCGCTGCGCGGAGGCGGCGGCGGCCGGTGGGTGCGGGGGGCGCGCGTGGCGCGGGGCGGGAGCGGCGGAGCTGCGGGAATTCCCGGGTCCCGCGCAGCCCGTCTGGGGCCTGGGGAGGGGAATGCCTTCGTCCCTGTGGAGGGGCCAGTGCCACCGAGGAGCCCTCAAGGCTCCGGGCTCGGCTT